TCGACTCGAACACCACTGGCACTCGCACAAACTTGTGTCAATCTTGGCAAATAGGATTGTCGACTTGAGTTAGAAAAATAAATTAATATTTTCATGAGTGCAAAATAAATGTCACAAAATGCATTGTTTTGCGATATAACTTTGTATTTTCGGAGAAGGCATGTCATATAAGTACGGTATTTTAAATAATGCGCAAATAATTAATATTTGATCTAAATTTATCGTAAATAATGTTATAACACTTAGGCCGCGAAATGATGTAATGTAAAATGAAGCATGGAATTCGGAATATCGTCAATAAGTCGGCATCAATAATTATTATAAAATGCTAACTAAGTAGTAAAGTCGGATATTGTAAAAAACGTTGAAATATCAAGTCTTCGTCGCGAGGCAAGCGAAAGTATAATCAAACGAGAGAATACGCTTGTAGTTAATTAATAAATTAGCAACCCGGAATTTTTATTTAATACGAAAGTCGTATTAATACGTCAATACGATTTTAAAAAAGTGAACTATCGTTTCTTAAATATATTACCAGTGTTGGTAATGATAAAATTGATCGCATAAAGTTTGGTGATAAAGTTGATAAAGGAAAATCAAAGCTAATACAAAAAGATAAAAATCAGAATAAAATTATTTTGAATTCACTCCTTGATATTTGTCTTTAACATCTGTTCCGGCGTGTGGTACTGCCGGGAATATGAAAACCAAACTTCGATGTCCCATTCGGAATAGAAGTGGATTAAATTGGTTGGTATGCTAGGTTTAAATGTGTGAAAAAAATATCGCAATTACGGGGTCATTACGTAATCTATTTGGCCGTAATTACGGAATTGATTTTTGTCAATTACGTGCAAGCCTAAAAGGGAGAAACTATAATCAACTCAAGTCGAAATATCTCATTTACCATTCCTCCGTACAATCATATTTACTTGATCAAATACCTTACGAAAAAACAACAACTCCAAATTTACAATTTAAATAATAACAACCCGAACTATTAAAATATTAGATCGAATTTATTATCATGCAAGAATATTCACTTGGTCGGTGATAGACCGTAACCATTTCTGGCGAATGGCAATAATCAGCAAAACAACATTTTAACAAAATGAATCAATCGAATTTAACTCAGTGCTATTATTAGTATCACGAGTGATGATTTAGTGATTATTACAAAGCAATCCATCACGCTTATTGTGGCCCAAGTTTTGAAGTATCGCAAACGCAAATTGAAGATTGACGATACATGAATAGTAATGTACGGTGTACACAATATGACAAAAAAAGTTGAATTGTATATGTATATTTCGAAAAATAATTTACCATGAAATAGTTTATCTTGAAATAATATTGTACCAATACGTTAAGAACATTGTTGATAACAGTTATGCTTAAGTTTCTAATAATCGATTAATCATTATACAATCCCATATTGAAAAGGGCCAATTAAAAATCGTTCATTGAATAGTATACTGTATAAGTATGTATGCACGTTCTGATGGCCGATCAAAATGTATGACTAATTGATCGACACATGCGCGATATATCTTTGGCCAATCCACCTCTGTATATGACGCTTAAATGAGCACTTTACCCGAGGTGGAATCGCAGTTTGTGATTATAACGTACTTGACAATCAGGCCTGCAGGGCGTCAAAATAAACATACTAATACAAGCAACGGCGGTGAAATTTACAGCAGGTTTCACGTGGAAATGGCAAAACGAGCCTAGACAGCTTTGATCTAACGAAAATGGCAAGGAATATTAAAGTAGTAAGTCCACACATGTCCATACTGGACACGAAAGCCGAAACAAAGCAGTGTACCCTACCGTGTTTACAAACAAATAAGCTCTCGAGTTTCCAATAGCACGAATTCGCAAAATTATAACGAAAAGCCGTCACGCCAGACAGATTGAAAGTATTTTCATGAATTAAAAATAATACAGCGAAACTTATCAGATCTCACAGGATTCACAGAAAACTTAGGAATAAATATAAGTTATACCCTTCCAGCGACAACAATAAATTTAATAACTACAATAAATAATAGAGCACTATGTCCATTTTGACCGAACATTAAATTATAAAAAAAATTGTTGTGCAAGGTATTTTATGTCAAAACAGTGTAGAACTATATTTCCCGTTCTATTTCCAGTCAATCACAACCCTTTAAATCTTAGTTTATTTCTCATTTTTACCGATTCCAATCCATTTACCATTACTTTATTATTGAATGTAATCACTTATTAACAGGGGCAAAAGGTTTCGTATTTTTGGATTTCTGAATTCACATTTCAGATTAAAAGATACCGTATATAATTTCCGTTTCCTGGCTGGGCCGATTCGGCGACATTGCAATCACATATTGTAAAAGTGTGAACGGTATTAAACATTACAAAAGCGAAGCGAAAAGGCATGAACATTCGATGCATGTCACCACATGACAAATACGAGGAGTAAACATTACGTAGAAACCACTGTTTGATTAATTATTATGCCATGGCAACAAACTCTCCCCAGTTGATTAATTATAACAAAATGATGTAATTCTAAGAAACCTTACAACGTATCATTGATTTCTATGTTAAATAAATGTAATAATAGATATTAACAGCGATCTAACAGACGTAATTATGTAAACAAGAACTATCAATTTCTGTGAATTGTCATGAGACTGTTGGGAAATTTTCATGAAGTGACCTTCAGACTGCTCACAAGAAAAAAAGTTTCGCGAGGTTGCGGTTGCCTTTTTCGTTAGGAATAGAAAGATATAAAACGAAAGTGTAATATGTCGAGGCTTGGTAACATATTTCATAACCTCCCAATATACAAATTCAGAATATCTCAATATCTGTTCTTTTTAAAAATCACCAATATTACGACTAAATCGTTAATTTAATTTGATTATATAAAATTTAGTAGAGAATTCAGCATATATTATGACTTTTCAGGATGATACATAAAACTAGATTATTTGAAACCGAAATTGAACTGGAAGCATATAAGTACTCTGAATTCTAGTACTAATCATATTATATGCGGACGTCTCAGTACCTAGTAATGAAAATACTCAGTCCGAAAATGAAGTAATATGACCCCCACTCATCTGTAAGTTTAACAAAAACAAATATATTTTTGTCAAGACTTGTAGATGCTTCAATCTGTAACATTTGGTCTGGTATATTTTTTCAAGCCAATCATGTTTTTTGAATACAAAATAGAGATCGAATTCTAGACATGAAATCATGGTTACTTAGTCATAATTGCAATTGAATACCAATTCATTCATGTAAAGCTAGACGGGATATGATCTCGTAGATGGGTATCGGATACATGTAACGTCATAATGATTTTCCTGGTGTCCAATTCCACACCAGAGGTAGAGAAACATTCAATAGGCAGGTTAGTCAACAATCACAACAAAAAGTTTAAAAAATAATTTTTTGGAATGATGTAAATTGTAAACGAAGTTAAAACAGGCATTGCCGACCGGGGAAACAATCAATAGGAACGCAGGATACATAAATCACACATGTATTGAAGAACCTTGAAGCACTAACTGGCCTAACAAACATTGATATAAAGTGTAGTATTATACACAAAAATTACTTTTTGTAGCATGATATGCCATAAATAAACCAAGCAAAAATCAGCACCACATTAATGTACTCGGCCATACAAAAATTAAGGATGTTTCTAATATTATCCATCTTAAGTTAATCTTTTGTTTTGTCAATAATTGCTTTTTGTTGTAATTGTGAGGCAACAGAGGGCTGTTAGCATTAAGATCTAACTAAGAATAGCATATTTTAATTTTTTCTTTCAACTGGCCGAGGGTCGAAAAAAGACGAAATTTGATATTTTAAAACGATGTTTTCGGTCGCGGTCGGTGCATGCGTGTAGATTAGTATATTTCGCGTCGATGATCGCGCCTTATTTGGAAGCTTAAAACAAGACAACCACATCGATGCCGGTGTTGCTAGTCTGTTGAATATGAATATAAAAAAAAAAAAGTGTTCCCCATGTAAAATTCTTATTAGTAAGCCTAATTATATCGCTGAATTCACCATCTATAGAACAACCAACCTCGAAATCGCATATTAGGTGCACATTATCAAAATAACTTATAAAGATTTATAAGAAAAATAGTATACGGCATTGAGAATCTCCATAAAAAAATGTTGAGGGGTAACACTGCAGTATATCAACATACATTGAAAGAAGCCGTAGGTAAATGAATATTATATCCAACCAATGTGTCTTTCATATTTGACATGTATTTTTAAATGCAAGATCATGGTCAAATCTACTAAATTACTATTGACAACTAACAAAATGCAAAGAATCATGATACAAAAATCTAGTCTATCATTGAGTAATTCACATTTAAAAAACGCAATCCAGACTCAATTATTTATTGATATATGATATGATCACAGGAAAAATTGACTCCCTTTTTGAACCAGTTAGTTTTATCCACAAAGCTTGAGTTAAGGGCTATAAATGAGACTTTCACAAATTATAATATACAACTGGGTATGGTATGGAAGCAACTAATTAAATAATCTGTCCTCAATTCTCTCAAATAAACTGAATCATAGTCATGCAACAATACCCAAGAGTTATGTTAAATTTTCATATACAGGGAAATTCCATTTTATATAGATAATAGTTAATCTAAAAAGGGTAATCTCTTGAATGCATACAATAAAATTTCTGGTTACTTTGTTTGAATTCCTAATGCTGCATCTGAAAATCTGTTCCTTACATATACCGGCAGATCAATACAGTATTTGAAAATCAAATACTCATCAACATCGATACTGATAAAGTTTCTAGTGTCTAAAAAAAAATCTTGTCCTAGTGCTTCTAATTTGTAACTAAAATTTTACAAATACTTGAAAATGCAACCTATATGCTTCAAATACATAAAAGTGAATTATATTTCAATTTTGAATAAACTGTATGTGTGTGAATAGATATTCAACTCATTTACCTGATCATCAATTGTTCTGTTCGTTACGTGACTGACGTCGAAACAAAGTAGAAATCCATCAATTGTTAATTTTCCTTCGGGCATTGGTTTTTGCTCAAAATCTGATTCAATGCCAAGTTGATCAATGCAAATATACATCAATTTTTCAGCAGATGTAAGCTGTGGGTAAAAGACAGATTTTTGTGAATTTGAGTTAAAATAAATATAGATTGAGATGAAGAAATAAATAGCACAAATTGCTGTTTACATTCCCATTAACTTAGATTGTATATCTTAAAGTATGTAATTTGAGAATTGTGAATAATCCAGCAAGAATATAGTTGAACTGTACTTCATGATATTCAAAATTATGTTCCCAATTATGCTCTAACAGCAACATTTGACATTTGTATCTTAAATCAGCTGAATTTGCACTTTTTTCAGAGTCTGGTGTCCAAATTTCAATTTTGAATTCTTTGGAAGTCAAAACACGAGAGTCGGAAGTTGGGATATAAAAATCTATATTTGTGATCAGAATATCAGAATTTGAAGGGTGATAACCTAAATTGAAATTCCAGACTGAAACTCAAAAGCATGGAGTTGGCTACGCATTCTCAAAAAAAAAAAATAAAGAAGTCTTGAATACACCGAAATATTGTTTTAAAAATTCTTCTCTGTTTCGAGTTTGGTTCTGGAATTTTTCTATAATGGCTTTGCAGCAAGGTATAAATCTTCCCTGAATTCACATCCCTGCCCGATAGTAACGAAGTTTCAACATAATCTTACTTTTACTGAAGCACATCTTTTTACATAGTTTTGATTTGAAGATGATCTATGTGGTTGATATGATTGGTCATCAATAAATTCAGTTTGTTCAACGACATTGAATTTATATTCAAGGCCATTATCATCCTGAAACAATACAATATTTCTTGTTAAATATTTTTCTAATTTATTCAAATGTCTGATTCAGATAATCAATTATTAAAACATCTGAACTTTTAAAGATGTGAAATATTTACATCAAGACAAGGCTACCACAGAAATTCCAATGGATGGAAGATAAAAAATCAAATTGTACAATTTCTGTAACAGATTCACACTGGCTTCTACCATACTATCATTTATAAATAAGGACAAGGTTCACAGCTTGCAGCAAATGTATCGGTAATTCAAACAGAGATGTTGGTGAATTGTGAAACTTAAAAGACAAAGATATGTAAAAATGTCACAGCATGAAATTAATTTATTGCAGTTCTCTGACATGGTGTAATCAGGAGTGTGCATTACATGTTTTATAGGTGGGCCATATAATCAACTTCAGACATCTAGCAGAGTCACAAAAAAATTTAGTTTATCCATGTGGGAAAGGCAGGAGAAGAGATTGTGTGGTTATTGCTTAGCTTTGCAGTAATAAAGGCACGGGGTAAAACGGTGTAAAATTTATCACCGACAAGAACAAAAAGCATTATGTCTTGTCAATCATGTGATCATCACTTTTCAAAAATAAACTGTCGAATTCGGATTTTATGCTTAATGGAGAAAAACCTGAGTGTTGACAAAGGCCACACTAAATGACTAGGAGCACTGGGTTGTGTTCCACGAACCGCCTGTTGCACGCGTCTGGTGTAAACTATTTAGCTAGTGAAGTCTGATTTAGAACGAAATGTTACAGACTAAAAGTTGTCGAACCAATCAACTCAAGTCTTTTTGATGGAAAATTGCATTAGAATAGTCAACTATTCAATTGGCTATTCTAGCACAGGGTATGTTTAATAAATAACAAAATGTTAATATCATCAGAGTAGGAATATAGGAAATAAATCTCACTGTTTTTATTGCCTCTCCCCAGTATAAAAAATGATCATTACTGACAACTCTCCCTGCAAAATCTGATTGGCTTAGAGCGGATGTATGTTCCGGGTAATAATCATCGGCCAGTGGACGAACAAATCTATTACAGAGACATGATTTTCCAACCCCACTTGATCCTTTGAACTAAAGAAAACAAAAAGGTGTTGTTAACGCAAAATAGAAACATGGACTAAGCTTAAACTGGGAGCCACAGAGCAGTTTTTGCCATGCCTACATCACACGCCATCATGCGCCACACCGTTATACCTGATTTTGTGGTTCACCCCATAAAAACAGGCAGCCACTCCCTGATAAGTATGTCTCAACAAAGGTAATTCCACATTTCTTATCCTTATTAAGCATTTAATTACCCAAAATTTAAAAAAAAATCAAGTGAAAGAATAAAGACATATTATATCCTCCAAAGAAACATTATTTCCATGAAATAAATCATTTATGTACATTTATTTAAAAAAGTCATAGATCAATTTGTATAATCATATTCTAATAGCTTTAGCCTACAGTACAAAAACTTCCATTAGCCTATTTGGCATTGATAAGTACGGTATTCACAATATACATTGTCAACTGAATATTGATTAAAATTCCATGTATGAACATTCTAAATAATATGACGAATGTGATTGCATGATTTCGCCATTAATCTATTTTTGTTGTATCTACAAGGTATGCTTAACAACTTCTATTATATATTTCTGAAGAACTTAGTATGCACATTTTGTATTCATACTTTAATATATAAAATAAATACATGTGATCTTATTTAAACTTGATATGATATTAGGCTCTGAACATTCTAAAAAATAATGATTAAATGATCTAGTTGAAGTATTCTGCTCTAAATTCCTTCATCATGACTTGGGGTTCCACAATATACTGAAATTTAAAAAAAAATCTAAAACAAATGTGACCATACCGTTTCGCTTCCAGATAATCCAACAACAGATATGTTAAAGACAGACTTGTATTTTTCTTTCTCCTTCGACATTGTATCGAGATAATGAACTTACAGACAAAATGTATAAATTTAATGAATAAATAATAATAAATTTAGCACCAAGTAGACATTCTTAATCTACTACCGATATCACACCCTGCAATGAAAAAATCAATAGAAAGAATTGAAAATTGGTCTTAGGGTTTATCTCAAAATCTGCAAATAAAATATCAAAATGAAGTCTTAAATTATCTAAAGGCCTGTGTCTGCGCGTTAATTTTGCATTGATGGGCCAGGCATGAGGTCAGCTGATCAAATACAGGCATGCCAGAACTTAAAATCTACCGGTACATCCTGACACAACTACTGAACTACGCATGAAAAGAGCAAAAATTTTGTAATTGCTAAACTGACACTCACACAATATCATCCCTTATATCAAATGTTCAATTTTGCCTACCATACCGTACTGCCATACAGCCTAATTTTGACATCAATCCTGACATTCTGACATTAGTCTGAACAATTCAGCAATTACAGTACCAGGTATTATTTAACAACCAGTCATGTCTATCAGACTAACTTATATAGGAAACAATGCTCCGTTTACCTATGGTAATGGTACGGTACTGTATTCGAGTCTATTCCGACATGACCGTCACTGCGTCACCAATTGTATAAATTGCTGAATTGAACAATACCTGAATACCGTACAATGTAACACTAATGCAGTAATGTGAGTGAATGAAAAATTTAATTTGCGTTATCAATACATGCGTATTTTCATGAAACCCGTTCAACTTTGCAGTCGTTCTAAATTGCGTCATCGATCAATTTGTACCTGAACTGACTTCACTGCCTAGTGACCGCCACGACAATACAGATGAAGCGACAAAACCAGCGCACTGGCGTCGGTGGACAGACAATGGGTGACTCGGACAGCGAAGACAGACACCAGACATCGGCGTGGGCGGTGCACGTCGAATGTTGAAACATAAAACTTCATTTACACATTTGCGCCGTCGTGTGCCCATCCGAATATTTGAATTGCGAAGTCGTAAGATTGTCAGAGCAGAGGTCTTGCACAATGGACCTTTCCCCGAGCATCGACTTCCTTGTTTACTTCGTGACATTGGCCAATCATCAAGATGCAAAAAGTGACGTAACAATGGTCGCTTTTCGCATCCGCTCAGACACTTTTCTCACTCAGACAGATTTTCAAGCGTGGTCGTAAACATTACCTTGTTTTCGCGTTTTTGTACTCTATTCGTTAGTTTTCTGTTGTGTTTCGGAAACTTAAATATAAATCAGATAATTCAATGATCACTCTGTATTCCTAAGAGTTTTAATTTAATTGCAGTAATATAAAATTAGTGTAGAAATAGGTGTGATAGACTAGGCTAAAATTCTTTACCGGTACTTTTAAAAAACAGATTGTTGTATGCGATGAATCATAATGACGGTTTGTAACACATACCCCGTTTTACAGGCGCCAACTCGCAGAGGCACTTTTAAAATATCCCGAAAATTTTGCAATGGTAAAGTATAGGAGGAATTTTCGGGGGTCAAAGGTCGGGGAAAGGTCCATAACATTTTATTTTGAATTGTGATGTACAGTAAATTAATGTGTTTTTCCTCATATCAGGTCAATCATGCTATTTCGTCATTGAAGTTAAAAATATACGGTACATCTCTGCATTTTAACGAATACTTTCATTGAATCCAGATAATTGTTGAAAAGCAGCTAGGCCGCGAGCAGAGGCCATTTATCTTTCAGTTTCGTAGCGCACATAAGGTAACTACCTGAAAATGATTTTAAAATGTTCCTTAGAAATTTAGTAACAAATATTGCCTTGTCCCCACTTCCAAAAGTTGCACGTTTTACAGAAAAGACGCTTTTACTTCAATAAATATGTGTTACCATCTGTCCTATTTTCTCTGCTTTTCCGGTATCATGGGCCAATGAACGCAGACTTCTGCATGACGTAACAATCAAATTAGTCAGCTGTAGGTGGATCCCCAGTGGTCGGATGAATATCAGATGTACTACTTCTGCTCGCTTTTGCGTTGAGTAGCCTTTCCATAGATTTTTTCAGTTATTATTAGTTCAGTTATTCTAAGGAGGTGTTGAAAAGTATAAGTAAGATTAAACACTTGTATATCCTTACCATAAATAGCAATTTTAGTTGAGCACTAGCTCATAAGACGTTGTTAAATAGGTACGGTGCGGTAACTCCAAGGAAGGCTAGACCTAGAATAATATGTCACAAACAACGATATTTTCTGGCTTGCATGAAATGTTTATGATTAATTTAATGACTCTTTTTGACTATTCAGCAGACTTATACTACTATATAGGCCACAGCATATTTGGAAATAGAAATTAATGGCTGTTTCTGTAATGCACGGTTGTGTGAAAGAGAAGAAAATAATCAATTTTTCTAATGTGGGTTGGTCTAATTCTAAATTCATAGAGTCGACAAGAACCTGGAAAGCAATGATAAGTTATGCCGGAGTGGAAAGAAAGTAGCATTGGAAACGATTGAGATGTGAGAAATCAAGTTGTAGACAGACAGTTGATGTTTTAAAATATAGTCTATAGTCCATACTCATACTGTCATAGAGCATTTCAAACTGTGATATATCAAAACTTAGTGTAGTTATAGTCTAGTAATGGTATGCAAACACTGCTGGACTGTAGTACACGCAATGAGCATATCAGATAAAATGCATTATGTATTAAAGGTATTAGTTAGTATTTAGTGGTATTTTTACACTCATGCTGTTCCAAATATGATTTTCTTCCTCATTTTAAATACTGTACTACAAAAGAAAACGGCAATGTTCCACCAATCCGACCTAACGCAGGCTCTAATCCCTGCTGCTATCAATGCTATAAAATGAATTAAACAAGAAGTCTTGAAGCGTAAAGGTATATGAGAATCATAATAGTTGCAAACAGCTTAGATGGGCTATTCATATTGAAACACTTTATAGCACTTTTCTGCAATTGGAACTGCCCATCAAACTCATGTTGGAGACTTCATTGAGGTTTTTCAATTCATTTTTTTCTCAACTATGAAGATCTTTTGAGGTTAACGAGGCATTAATAAATAAAGCTGAGGAATTTGTTTGTTCACTGTATAAAGAGGATATGAAGAATGTAAATGATATCAGGGCACGTCTATTTAACACTGGCAAACATAAGGATTATACTCTGCCACCCAACAATGATTCACTGAAGAAGCCTGTGGCCCTCAAATCAGTTCTTGAGTTGGCAAACTGCAAGTGTAAGAAAAATAGTCAAAATAATGTATGCAAGTGTGCCAAAATCAACTTAAATTGCACAGATTTTTGTTTTTGTATTGACTGCAAAAATCACAGTACACTTATAGAGGAAAAGTCGATTTTCGAGATAGTGGATCGAGAACAATTCAGAAGAAAGTGAATTAGATATTGCAGTTGATTTAATAAGTATCATTTTTTTTCGGACATTTGTTAGTGTCGTAGTACTTTCTAGAAATAATATTGCCTTTGTTCAAATACATAACCACATAAACTAAAAAAAGACTAATTGTAATATTTCTGTTCACTATGTTATGTACATATTCTATGCTGTTCTTGTTGTAAACTGCTTGTGGTTATTACATAAAATTTATTCGCTAATGTGAAACAGCGGTGTTGGTGTCGCTGCTTTCGAGGTCACTCGCGACTCCTGTCACACAATTAAAGTATTTTTAGTTGTTGGATACATGTATGCCATATTTTTCGTAATCTACCTAATAAATTATGATTGACTGAGGAAGTCCGATTTTGGTCAGGCAAAACATTACAGGAATACATTTGTGTTAGTGTGCTGTAGGGCTCTCGAATTGCATAGTTCTTATGTATGTGTTGTAAACTTATGGTTATTGAATTTCCGGGAACCTCTTATATTCAATTTCGCATCAGGATTGTGGAACAAGCTGTAATGCGTTCAGTATGTTCATTTTCACACAAAACTGAAGAATTTATTTATTACCAGATGTGCGCTAACGAACTCATTTTCTGGGCGTTTTCAAGGCTTCTTCTCACGGCCCATATCCGTGTAAGGATCTACAAGTGTTTATAAGTTACTTATACATTTTTCAACAACGTCTTAGCATAACTTAACTAATAAACTAAACAGGGCTATGGAAAGGCTGCCCAACTCAACGCAAGGTCGAGCAGTAATAACTAATATTCATCCGCTCGCTAACAGCTGATTCGATTCAATTGTAACGTCATGCAGAAGTCATTGTTCATTGCCGAATAGGTAGAGAATATAGGACAGATCGTAGCACATAATTGATATTTCTTGTAGTAAAAGCGTCTTTTCCGTAAAACGTGCAACTTTTGGAAGTGGGAACAAAGGCAATATTTGTTACTAAATTTTTAAGGAACATTTTAAAATCATTTTCAGGTAGTTACCTGATGTGCGCTACGAAACTCACTTTCTAGGCGTTTTTCAGGGCCTCGGCTCGCGGCCTAAGCCAGTCTTGAAAAAATTTGTCCCGTGTAACGGGTGACGCACCGCTCAATTCTTGTCACTTTTCTAAGTATTTGCAATATTCCAATTATAATACTAGTTAGTATGTTTATATATTCACGACAAATAGTCAGGGGAATGTTGAAATTAATTACATATATATTATGCTTCTCTGGTAAGGAAGTTTAGATATTCTGTTATCTATCAAATTTAGTGTTGCAAATAGTTAAATAGTTCTAACTTCTTAGCAAAGGAGCTTTCTCCGACCTTGGACCCACGAGAAAATTCTTCCTATACTTTACCATTGCAAAATTTTCGGGGCTATTATAAGAGTGCTTTTGCGAGTTGGCGCCTGTAAAATGGGGTATGTGTTTCAAACCATCATTATGATCCATCGCATACAACAATCTGTTTTTAAAAGTACCGGTAAAGAAATTTAGCCTAGTCTATCACAGCTATTTCTACACTAATTTTTATTACTGCAATTAAATTAAAACTCCTAGGAAAACAGAGTGATCATTGAATTGTCTGAGTTATATTTAAGTTTCCGAAACACAACTGAAAACTAACGAGTTTAAAAACGCGAAAATGAGGGAATGTTTACGACCACGCCTGAAAATTTGTTAGAGTTAGAAAAGTGTCTGAGCGGATGCGAAAAGGGAGCATTGTCACGTCACTTTTTGCATCTTGCTGATTGGCCAATGTCACGAAATAAACAAGGAAGTCGATGCTCGAGAAAATTTCCATGCTCTCTAACATCGCATCACCAGTGTCCCAACCTTATGACAGTTTACGCTGATACGACTGATGAGGCTTCGTTATTTCAAGTTTTACTCTTATGCATAAAACTACATCTGGAGCGAAATCAGTAGTGTTCTAGCCATTATTCAATATATTTTTCAGCCAAATTAGAAATTACACAGCATGCATTTAACAACTTAATGATTAAAAAAACAGTGGATAATGAATCAATTTAAAATATTTAGGCAATAATGAACAACCACGAAAAACTTTCATAAAAAATTCTAAAAATTAATCTTATATATTCGATCGGAACATATATATAAGACTCATCAATAAGGATATTTTTTTTTTATAATGAGAAATATCTGCATGCAAAATGGTGCATGAAACATTCGGTTAGGTTCATGTCGAAAAATACTTCAAACTCAATCTAGAGTCCTACAATTATGAATGTTTACTCAAGATGGCGGTATTCAACACCATCACCCAATGAACCTTTCACATCGTTTCTTCCAATTCTGTATCCGACTATTATATTTTCGGTTAGATTGAAATGATGTTTAGATTGAGTGATGGCTTTTTTGCACCATTTACACGGTTCGTGGTTGCTGTATATCAATACTGAGTCTGGTATACAACCGTTGTTATTAATCAATTTTCCAAGCTCCGAGTCGTCGAAAGATACTTTTAGCGCATCTCGTGGTCTTTTAGGATTGCCAACAAGAAGAGCTTCTGCGTGAACAGTGTAAATTTTGTCTTGTTTGACATCGAACCACCTTGATTGGCATTCGGCATATCTCTGGAAAATCGAGAACTAGGTTAAATATATTTTTGACGTATTTTTGTCAAATAGATCTCGTCACTAATAACATTGAAGAAAGGCTAAAAATACCATTTCATACTTGAATTCACCCGATGAGTCAAACCAAGTTTATGATTTAAAGCCAGTAAAAAAGTTAATCTCACACAAGGAAAAAGACAGTTACAAGACAGCCCCGGGTAACCAAAGCTGGTTATCGAGCAATAGCACCCACGTTCTAATATCAAATTAAAATTGATAGCAACCATTGTGGTTATCGATGAGTAGTTTTAGCAAATTGTCCGCTCAAAATCGCTAGAGATAGAGAATGAGCCAACGGGCATAAGTGAGCAATCCCCACTTCTTCTTGCTTGAATAAAAGAATAGTTTGAAATTTTTCAATATGACGTAGTCTATCCATCCACGTGGATACAATTATGAGATATTGAACGTTGAGCACCAATAAAATACACGACAGAAAATATCGGGTATGATTACAATAAATCAAATTGAGTTAAATTGACACACTGGGTTCCATAATGATGAATAGTAGTGACATTTGATTACTGCTAGTGCGTAGAGTGAGTCATTATAACTTTAAGTCCTTATATGGATCTAACAATGACACATGAGTTCTATTAAAATCTTTTGTGTGTATGCCTATGCGTGTACTAATTCCTTGCGTTGCAATAATGTACAGTTGTTTGCTGTGAAAAACTCAATTCTAGACAATGATCGAATAATAAAAAACATTTGAAATTACCAGAAAATATTCATCATTTGGTAAACGAGCATAGAGTACTGCATATTGATGGAATTCCGAAGGTGATTTCTCTCTTCCCCATTTTTGCATTTCATTTAAAATACGATTTACATCACCTTAAAAAAGACATTATTTTCATTCAGTGCAACAGCTAGCAAAACTTAGAACCCATTTAAGAATAGAGAAAGCCAAGGACAAATTTGCTACATCTCACTATGTAACTTCAATTCTTGATTGGTGGTTTTGTAAATTTTCTAATATATTATAATATAGAAAGAATAGTGCAATTTTTCTTCCTAAATGTATCTAACTCCTCATCATTATAGATTCAGTCTAACAAGATAATTTGAGAGTGTACATATCCCTCATTCTACATCTCTGTAGAAATGACGGTAAAGAAGTTTGATAAAAGACGCCGAACAATTCGAATTATTGCATGAATATAAGAGGGGCATGTCAACAGGGTATATGACTAATTTATTTTGAGAATGAGACAAAAACTTTGAACTTTAACCAGTTATGTCATAGACTTTAGGCATTTGAAATATCTAAAGCAAATGATTTTGCTTCCCCATGGCTTAGCTAGACGAAATAATGGTTTGTATTTCACAAAAATATTCAATTTGGCATTATTTACTTTTCCTTGGACTGGTGTTTGCTTTAATTTTTCTATCAAGATGGCAGAAATAATTTTGTTGGAATAAACCTCTGCCCGGAATTGGAATAGAAACATTTCAAAAGTGAAATGTACATTCAAATTGATTTATGGAATACCATTGGTTGTTCAGAAGTTTATATAGACAAAAACGCTTTTACCTTCCTTTCTTCCAAGTCCATGAATATGTAACGATCGTTTGGTATATTACTATCTGACTCGCATTGGTTAACGTAACAATGCCTATGGTTCGATGATTATATGTGTGGTGTGTGTGCGTGCCGTTTTAATTGTATTTTTATCTTCCAGAGATAATTATGAAAATATCCTTTGAATTCCGTACTCCCGAAGTATGTGAACCAAGATGGCGGACACCGGAACGTGATATGTGTAACCAGATTTATGCCATAATTTTATTCCAATTTTCCTTATTTTAGTTATATTACTAGTTCGGGGACTAGCCAAGTGTCTCACGTAGTATTTGTACGTGAAATTATGGCCTAACCCTAACCTGGTACACATACCACGTTCCGGTGTCCGTCATCTTCGTTCACATACTTCGGGAGTACCGAAAATTCTAATCGTTTCAAACGAATTACATAAAAAATATCCCCCACTATTGGATAATCTCAAAATAAGACTTACCTGTTTCCCAGTGCAATACGTCGTTCATCACGAATTACGTTTGAAGGTAGATATATCACAATATCTGCACAATGGAAACAATTCTGTTGTCTGACGTCTCGACCTGTACTGTGCATCCCTCGCAACTATACCGCATTATGAGCCATTTGAGGAAACAATAAACTAGCGTCTGCGTCAATGCGTAGATAATTTATTGTAAGAATCGTAGACTACATTGTTGGTTGTTTAACTCATAGTAAGTTTAAAGCATTGACGTAGAAAGAGAATTCATGATAATATTACATGCGTCATGGTATGGTTATTATTAGTTTATTTCTTTCAGTTCTAAAGCCTGGCTTGAAATGAAATTTCTAGCTTGCAGGAATGTATCAAAATGAACCGAAATAAAAGTGACTAAAATGTACAATAAGAGTGTCCAATCAGTTTATATTTAGATCATAAATACAAGTCCAATTGCAGCGATGTGGTTGTTTACAGTCTTGATAAAGTTAACACGACCTATGTGTCAGGAGCTCAAATGCAAATGTAATCATATCCCCGATATTTCATTCCTAATGGCATTCGAACATCCATCACGTAGGGAAATTTGTTTAAACGAGGAGAAAATGGTAAAGCTTTCTCAGAAGCATGTAGGTTACTTTTATTCAATTTAATTGTTCAACGGTTTGCTACGGATAATCTTACTTGTTCCCATTTAAGTCAAGGTTTGAGAACTAGATTATGCGATTTACAGGGAATATAAATGCCCAAAATATATATATTTCAATTCATACATTTTACATATTACTGATCATTGCTTACGTTTGACTTCTTTTCCCAGCAATTCTTGTCTGTAAACAATTATTTTCACTCTAGTTGAGCAATTATGATAACATGTGTTCAAAAATTTAATGATTAAAAATAGCAAAAATGTACCACACGATATTTTTGAACGATAAGAATTGAAAATGATTGTGATATCGATTTCTATTTTGAACAAAGTTATGACACATTTTTACAAATAAAATATAAAATTGCTAAATAAGCTCCAAGTCACAAAAATACAATAATTACAATGCCATAATGTAGTAACTTCTGGCTTTCTAACAGCAAAGTGCAATGAATAAGGGTTGATGATGGGAATGTACAATTTTATTATACATATATTTTCAAATAACTTGTAAATGTTCGCATCCATGCTAAAGAAGATTTTGCACTGTCAGGTGAGACAATTGTTTTTAAAATTCACAGTAGATAAAATTAAGTAATACCCAAAAATCCAATTCTTCTATGATGCACGTTGTTTCACATGAAAATTTATAGTTTTTTTTCTAATGGACGTCGAGAATGTATTTTTTCACATGCTTGATTTTGACAACTACGTGATCAACGAGCACAATGTTTCTAGTCCACTACCGATAACGTAAACGTTTTCTATTATGGCAGAACACTCCCGATTAAAACTTCTGACGAATAACTCAAATGTCCGGTTTTGACAATCAGCGATAAGCCAAGTTTCAGTGAATTCTTCTGGTTGGTAATGAATTGTGCAACTGCATTCTTCTACTGCGCCTGGCGTTACTGCAAACGCGACGCTCTTATTTGCTCATAAATATTAAGGCAGTGCAGCATCTGTTATTACTTCGTCGGAATAAACCTCAAATTTGATCATCTAAGTTTTGATCTTCTCATAAAAATGTCAAAAATGAACGTATAATAAATGTCTACCGCAGATGAAAATGTTCAACACCGTCACCATATGAACCTTTCGTCAAATCGTTTCTTTCAATTCTGTGTGCGACTTTTATATTTTCGGTCAGATTAAAATGATGTTTAGCTTTAGTGATGGCTTTTTTGCACCATTTACACGGTTCGTGATTGCTGTATATCAATACTGAGTCTGGTATACAACCGTTATTTTTAATCAATTTTCCAAGCTCTGAATCGTCGAAAGGTACTTTCAGTGCATCTTGTGGTCTTTTAGGATTTCCAACGAGAAGAGCTTCTGCGTGAACAGTGTAAATCCTGTTTTCTTTTGCATCGAACCATCCTGATTGGCTTTCCGCATATTTCTGTCAAGTAGTAAGTGATATTATCGGTGACGGTAGTGAACCCCTCTCTGTAGGGGGTGAATACCCTCTTTAAAAGTTTAAACCTTAATTAAAAATGTATTTGAATATCCAGTAAGTGGCTCGTTATGTCGACGGAGAGGATCAGTCGAATACAAAACATATTTTCATAAGCTACAAATAGTTTAATCAGTAATACCGAAATATCTACCACCTCCTATTTGAGTTCTATTACGTATTCGGGGACTAGCCAAGTGACTCCCGTAGTATTTGTACCTGAAATTATTGCCTAACCCTAACCTGGTACACATACTACGTTCCGGTGTTCGCCATCTTGGTTCACATACTTCGGGAGTACTGAAAAATGTATGTAGGCAGCTATGAAAAATGGCACTAATTTGTAACGCTTCATATAAATGTAATAGTCATACACAACATTTGAAACGCCGAATATAATCAATGCTGGTCGTCATCTACGACTCATTTCATGCGTCGTCTAACGATTATTAACACCACCACTGGATATAACGTAGTTTAGGTATAGTTCTGTTCAGAGTACTCGGGCTCAATTTTGGCTCAATAAACTGGGGTACCGAAGATTAAGAATATGAGGCGTGAGCATCAGTCTACCTTACAGTAATTGACGCAAACGTTTGCAGACATGGGCAAAGTACGGCCGGCGGGCCAAATGTCGCCCGTTGGTTGATTCAATCTGGCCCGCCTGATGCTGTCACAACCAAAATGAAACCAAATTTTGATGTTCCAGCCAAAAATAACTCGAGGAATTTATTGAGATTGCGGTTAAATTTAGTTTGGGCACGATGCTTATTGTTTTTCACTGTTGCTTTTTTAACACTGTAAATATTGTTCATAAAATGTAACTTTTCACGTCATACTTACATGGCCCGGCCCGCCAGTCTAGTTAAGCAAAATTTTTGCCCCTGGTTCAAAAACATTGCCCACCCCTGCGTTAGAGTCTAACGGTCAGACTGTTTTCTTCCTCATGTACAGTACTAATACTGTATATTGATTGGTACGGTGCTTCGAAGTAAACTCAATCATTTCTAGAAAGTTAATATTTGAATGAAAAGCATTTGGAATTACCATATAATCTTCATCACTTTCTGAACGAACATAAAGTACTGCATATTGATGCATTTCTGAGGGTGATTTCCCCCTTCCCCACGCTTGCATTTCGTGAAAAATATGCTTTATATCACCTTTGAAAAATAAGATATATATATATAATATTAAAACATAGAGAGACAAGAACATGTGATACAAGCGAAATTTTTCCGTGAATGCCACAGAAGTTAGTCTTGGTGTATGTATGTATATGTACTAACACTATACGGGTAGAAAGCAAAATATATTTATTTTGTATAAATAATTATTGATTTTGTCTCGAGAATATTTGCATTATGAAGTCACATATTGTTCGTTTATATTGCGTCGCATGTTGCTATTTCTGTGCTACCGGTACTGTTCGACACTTGGTATGCTTTTCTGATTTGGAACCAAGTGCTGGGATTTGGTACACCTTAATTTTTGTTCCAATATTTTGAGCTGGCGGATATAATAATGTCGAGACGACATCTATGCTCATAATACAGCCGTCCGAGTTTTTCTTGTTTGTTTTGACGGCGCTCGCGTGAGGACGTCTGACGGAGTCGGGAATTACTTCATACCGATACTACCCATATACTACAAGGAAAATTGTGAGTTGTATTTATTCCTATTTCTTATTGGGAAACTTAATATTTCAACCCATTTTATCGGCTGCGGCCGGTAAAGTGGGATATGTATGGAATCGAGGAACAGACAAATAAACGTCGGGGCGAGGATGAAATTGGGCCTTCAATCAAATTGAGAAATGTTGCATTAACTAAAACGACAGAAGCGGAAAGTCACCAATTCCACGTTGTGGTGTCAGGTGTGGACCGTCCAATAAGGACATACAATCCTAATGCAGTTAATAAAGGGTTGCGTGAACAAATCGGTGAATACAAAGTCGTGAAAGTTTTGGCTAGTGGAGAACTATTGGTAGATTGTTGTGGCAAATCCCAAATGACGAAACTGTTAAATTGTAAACAATTGGGTGACGCGAAAATTCATATTAAAGCGGAAGAATATAAACAAACAAACGTTCAGTCGAAAGGTGTAATTAATGGAGTGCCGATTGACATATCTGACTCCGAGCCATTAAGCTTTCTAAGCGATCAACACGTCATAAAGTCGCAGAGATTTAAGGTACGAAAGACAAACAATACTTCATTAAATAATACTGAAACAACTCCAAGTTTATCCGTTCTATTATTTTTCGATACTACCCGCTTGCCTTCAGTCGTACATGTGGGGTACTTAAGATTTGCAGTACGAGTATACAATCCGCCACCACTAAGATGTTTTAACTGCCAGTCTTTTGGACATATTTCCAAAAATTGTCGGGGATCAACGCGGTGCGCGAGGTGCGGAGGACGTCACCTTACCAATGAATGTGAAAAAGCAGAGAGAGTATGTTTACATTGTAAAGGAAATCATAGTGCGGCATATGGCGGATGTCCTAGATACAAAGAAGAGTCACATATACAAAAAATTCGTGCTCAACAAAGCGTCACTTATTGGGAGGCAAGATCAATTGTCAGAAAAAACAACATTGCAGCTGGTCCAATTTTTTCAGAGGAAAATTTTCCCGCTATGCCGGGCCCCGAATGTTCTTCTAATCTAGAAATATTTCGTCATACTATGTCTCAGCCAATACAGTCAGTTGATCTGTCACAATCTACAAGTTGTCAACATAGAATAACGCGGTCAATGAAAAATCAACTGCCTTTCCAGCGAGGTCCACAATATGACGGCATGAGTATACGTAATACTGATGAGGACATTCAAATATCCAAAATAAATTCATTATCGTTTTGTGCTTTCATAGCAGATATCATAAAAATCACTTTAAATTTTTCTAAAGAATCAGAATTGAACATGATCTCAGAAATAACAAAAACGACGCATAAAAATATTGGGATGATTTCAGATAAACAGAAACTTGTTTCCTTAGTTAATCTGAAATAATGGTACTCTCACTAATGCAATGGAACTGCATAGGCATATATAGAAAAATACACGAATTCAAACATTATATAGATATCTTGTCTTCAAAGCCAAATGTCATTTTGCTCTAAGAGACCTTTTTATCTAGCAAATACACGCCTGTTTTATATGGTTATACGTTAATTAGACAAGATCGGAACACTTTTGGTGGAGGGCTATGCATGTTCGTGGATAACTCGTTACCACACACTCCCCTGCCGTTCACCACCTATCAAGAAATAGAGATACAAGGCATTGTTGTCGAAGATATCAAGATTGTTAATATATATATTCCGCCGGATGCACACCTTGATGAACATGAATTCATGTCAGTATTCGTACAACTACACTCAAACACACTCGTATTGGGAGATTTCAACTCACACCATACACTCTGGGGCAGTTGATACTGCAACACATCTGGGCGTATACTTTCCAAGTTGATTGACCTACATTTCTATGTCGTTCTGAATACTTGTCCAACTAGATTGAATATCCATCTCAATGCTACTAATCATAGTTCGCTATTAGACCTCTCTCTCGCCAGTGCTAATATTGCACACAGATGCGTCACTCGTGTATCAGACGAACTAATCGGGAGCGACCATTACATAATTACAACATCTGTTGATATTAGGATGTCAATGTCACCCCAATTCAAACCAAATTGGGCATTCAAACGAACGAACTGGGATAAATTTAATCGACTTTCAGATACTCATATATCAGATGTAATAAAATCTGAAGACGTTGAAGTTTTTTGCGACAATTTCCCAAATTCGCTTGTTACGGTTGCAAGAATGTCTATCCCCAAAACTAAACCATATAAAAAAAACCAGCAACCCCTTGGTGGAATGATGAATTCTCCAAACTTATAAGACTGAAACGAAAAGCTTACAACAGGATGAAACGATCCATGTCACCTATCGATATACTTAATTTTAAACGTTGCAGAGCAAACGCACTTCGCGGAATATTAGAGGCAAAAAAGACCTATTGGCAAAACTATTGTAGTTCTCTCAGCAAAAACTCAAAACGTTACACAATCTATGGCAGAACAGTTCGTGCAATGTCTATATAGGTAACAATCAATTTAAATACCAGCAATAGTTGACAATAATCGTTACTTTAGTTGATGATTCCGAAAAAGTCAATGCGTTTGGACGTTATTTTTACATCAGTCAGCTCATCCGATAACATATTCCACGAAACTTTTAATCAGAAAAATTACAGTTTGAAAAATCTTGTCAAGTTGAAGTATAAAGATACGGACGGCATTCTAGATGTTCCTTTTTCGGAATGGGAACTAGACAACGCTTTGCGACCGAGAAAGAATACATCTCCCGGAGTCCCGGATATGATGAAATATGTTATCCTATGCTCAGACACTTTCCCCATAAATGCAAAATAATACTCCTACAACTTTTTAATCTTATTTGGGTAAAAGGACAATTACCAGCTCATTGGCGCCACTCCATCGTAGTTCCCATATTAAAATCTAGCAAACCAAATAATCTTATATCATCATTCAGACCCATTTCGTTGACGTCCAACTTATGTAAGGTAATGGAACGACTAATTGCAAACCGGCTCAAATGGTATCTTGAAAAGTTTAGTTTGATAACGACGAAACAATCTGAAATTAGAAATCATCGCTCAACAACCGATAATATCCTTCGAATACATGATGATATCTAGAAAGCTTTGGCAAATAAAAGAACTGTTTTAGCAGTGTTTCTCGATATGGAAAAGGCTTACGACATGGTCTGGCGTTGTGGTCTCTTATACAAACTGTATAATATTGGGATACGTGGTCGATCTTTTATGTGGATTAAATCGTTTTTGTCGATCCGTACCTTTCAAGTCCGTATCGACAACACAATGTCCGATATATTCAAGCTCGATAACGGAATTTCTCAAGTTAGCGTTTTATCCCACTTCCTTTCAATGTTATGACAAACGATTTGCCCCATTGCGTTTCTTCAAACATAGCGCTCTTTGCGGACGACTGCAGTATTTGGGAAGTTGAGTTACGTATTGATCATCTTTTTACAAAGGCCCAAACTAATCTAGACAGTATTAATAACTGGTGCAATAATTGGGGGTTTCGCCTCTCGAAAACAAAATCAAAAGCCATTCTTTTCACGAGACGAAGAAAACTGCCACATACAATATTGAAAATAGAAGGATCTAGTCTCAAATTTGAGAAGGACTGCAAATACCTGGGAGTCATATTCGATTCACGACTGACATACAGAAAACATATTGAATACATAGAAAAAAGATGCGGTAAAAGAGTGAATTTGTTACGTGCATTATCGGGTACGAAGTGGGGTGCAAAGAGGAATACCTAGCTCACAGTATATAGGGCGATAATAAAACCAGTTATCGAGTATGGCATGAAAGAAATTTATTTTACATCTCCGACTATATTGCGGAAACTGGCCGTAATCCAATCACAATGTTTACGCATTTGCTTGGGTGCATTAAAAAGTACTTCTATTATAGCTTTACAATCCCAGTGTAACGAAATGCCTTTACATATTACACATTATAGAAAATGTCTACATTACAAATGCAGAATGATCCCTCATGACAGCGAAATTACAGCACAATTATTCAAACAGTCGTGGGAAGAATATTTTCCTGACAAACCATCATTTGCAACGTTTAATATGAAAACAACCAACAGCTTTTTCACCGACTTTTCTGTTGCAAAAGATGTCAATTTCGAGATTCCTCCCTGGATAATGAAGCCACCGCAAATTGATACATCGTTAACGATTTATGGTACAACATGTTCACCAACAACACTTCGAACGTCATTCCTTACTGAAATTACATCGTTTTGTCTCTTCATATACACCGGAGCTATACGCAATTCTGGGTTGTCTCAGATGGATCGCAACAACAAGACCGGAACGTGTATTGATAATAACAGATTGTCCCAATGCCCTTTCAGCTCTTCTTAATTATTCAGCATTCGAAAACATATCAATTGCGAAAATAGCTACAATAAACTCGATGTTAACAAAACAAGGAATACAAATTACATTCCTATGGTCACCACCTCACGTAGCAATTATCGGAAACGAAATAGTGGATTACCTGGCAAAAGGAGCAATCAACAAACTTTCTCTTGATGCAATTCTGCCACTTTCCGTCTCAGAAACAATATCATATTTTGATACATTGGCTCAAGAAAAATGGAATACGGAATATGTTAATAGTGAATCAGCAAGTCATTATAAAAGATTTCATCCCACCACGATGTCACGACTAGAAAACGAAACTTTGTCACGTAAATATCAAGTTCTTTTATTCCGACTGCAAAGTGGTCATTGCGCCCTGAATGCACATTTACATAAAATTGGCTGTCATTCTGACGGATTTTGTGAACAGTGTTTCGTACCTGAGACCGTAGCCCACTACCTATTGCATTGTCAACGATATAATCATCAAAGGAGCCCAGTCATTAGCAAAGCCAGAAAACTTAAACTGGAAATGACTTTGGAAGAAGTGCTTAGTAACATGGACATTATTGAAACTGTTATCGAATTTGTTTTTTGTCTACGGGCAGAAATATTTAGAAAAAATTACCTATTGTAATTGATTCAATTGTATAATTATATATTCGTAAATATTGTCTTATATGTTAGTATAGGATTTTTAAATTCAAAATGATCAAAGGCGCAAAAGTCCACTGTAGTTACGAGCGCCATAAAACATATAACAACAACAACCGTCCGACACAGTACTGTAACATTTTTGCTCGATATTCCAAAACTGTTGCCATCGGCTGTTACGAGGTTGACATTGGTTTTAAAAGTATGCAGATATCAATAAACTTTACATTCAATCGTGACGTGGTGACATATCCAAAATTGGGTGCTCCCGAAGTATTCGTACAGAGTAATATATAATATATTCTTATTAATCCTCAGTGTTATATGACCAAAAACAATTCTCCCTTCAACGCAGTTTAAAATGATCTTAAACTTAACAATTGTAAATAGTTATTTTTAATTCTTACCGGTTTTACAATATAGTTTGTCGTCCATTTTTGAATCCGTGAATAAATATCTCAGTTCTGCACATACAATACAATTTCTGCCTCTCAATGTCTTTTCTTTTCTTGTGATAAAGTATCTATATCATCTTTCGTGAAATGCGCTGCGTACCGATACTGTGGTATCACTTGTTTCAGAAATACCTTATCACGGTCGACTGCCTCGCGCTTTGGTTGCGTTCTTGTATTGCTTAAGTTGTGAGGCAGCGTCAATCAGCGATTATTATTGTTTGTTTCGAATATGTAAGGGACTATGTATTACAAAAACGAATATTATGTTGGCATTGTATTTGTTAGAACCATTTCACTACCTGGTATTTGTGCATAAGTAAGCATTACAATATGGTGCTCCCGTAAGTATGTGCACCAGGATGGCGCACAACCTGAACATAGTATGTGTACCAGGCCAGGGTTCAGTACTCATCTTGTTACACATACTACGGATGCGCCTAAAAATATACCGACTGTCAAAGTTTTGCTATTTGGCTTAAACCGGTCCGAACAGAGATAATCAAGCAGAACTAGAATGGCAGCCATGCCAGTGTCTTCGCCGCGAGAGTACTTCCTCAGTACAGCGAATATATAGCAGTAGGCCTACTGTTGCCTAAATTTCCTGAATTGTTGTTTATGGTGACTGCATTTCACATTACGCAGATTTTGCTTACGGTTCGATATGACTCTGCCTCACAGAATAACATATATATAGCCTACTTGTTTTCTTGCTATGCCTCAAACACGGTTACGCAAAAATGTTTACAGTTTTTCTGAGGATCACCTTACTTGGCTAAAAGTTCATCCACATAAAAATAAAACGTCAGCACAAATTTGTGTATATTGAAATTTATTAGGCGTTGATCCTATATCCACTCAGGACCAAACGAATACAAAGTAAACCGGGACCGTTATTTTTCTGGGTTAATGAAATGAAAATAAATAAAGTCTCACTGGCCACACACAACCGTGCTTTAACTTGCATACACAGATGAAATATAACATGCATAGAATATAATACAAGTATGTAGCATTTGAATATTCATTCCGGAAATATGGAAGTCCGTTTTAGTCCAAATTTGAGGCATGTTTGTTTGAAGTATTTTTCACGTCGCTATGTTTTGGAAACTGGTAGAAATCTATGCTTAGTATGAGTATTCCGTGTAAGCAATAACCAACCACATTTCGTACAAGGTGTCACGAAGAAAAATCCTTCACATTAATTCAAGAAATGTATGTTAAATATTTTAGTCTAGTAGCAAGCCTACATCATGACTGAAAAATAATGAAATCAGTGAACTGAAATAATCGTATCTCGTGGCAATCTGTGCATTAACAATTTTTTCGAGTCAAAATAGAAATACAGGGAAAGCTGTATTTAATGATATACATCCAGTCTAGTAATCCATTAGGATTCTATTGGTTATCATGTCCTGCATCTTGAAGGACGCAAGTTTATAGATCAGACTCTCCATAAAGGCCAGATGAGAAGCTTTCGTAATCCAAAGCTTCGTCAGGCGCGTCGCCTCCAGTATATTTCGACATCCTTGAAATGCAGTATTCGGCTTGGTCTGGTGGTAATTCTCTACGTATTTCGTTAGGCAGAATGTATGGCTGAAAAAATATAGAATCTCATTTATATAAACGGAATGGGATAATATTCCATTCAAGTCGCAACAAGAAATCTCTTATTGTCCGATTTAGTGTGTAGGTGGTTATTTTATCTACTTCGCTCCAGAAGTGTATGTACCAATATGCAGGTAACTATTTTTGCTCGCCTATTTTACATCAAGTTGTGTAAAGGGACTGAAGCCTATGGTCAGGGGGTATATTCACTTGGCTAACACAGACAGTCCAGAACTCGTATAGAACTAAAATAAAGAAAATCGGAATAAAATTATGTTCTAACCTACACATACTACGGTAGTACATTTATCAACTCTATCAACGTTAGATTAAACAGAATATAAAATTGCCTCAAACTAGTTATAAATTTTTCAGCCGGATCATGCCTTTAAAGGCCGTTATCACTCAAGACTTTGGCAACCTATATGTGTCATTTGAATAGAAGTTTCAAAATAATTTTTCAAATAACTACTCCATCAAATTTGTATATTTTACCTTGTCTCCGGCTAAGACACGGAATGAATCAGTAACTTGCGCTGCTGTATCCTCAACTCTGACGTCTTTAGCCATGAAATCCATGAATGCCTCGAATGTTACATATTCCATGCCATTTGGATCGACCTCCTTCCATATCTTGTCGAAATTTTCGTCGCCCTGGTAACAGATTAAGGGAGAAGTTTAGTCATAGAATAGTTTCTTTAATATAGAATAATAAAGTCTACGAAGAAAACATCATACTAATATATACATATATGATTTTGAAATCCGGAATTTTGAAGTTTTACGGATATGATTAATAAATTTATATATTACATTAATTATCTAAAGCAATGGTTCTCAAACTTTTTAAGCCGCGCCACCTTTTTGTCAAGTCTCGCTCCCACCTCAAAGATAACCAGCTAACTATAAGCCAGCGGTTCCCAACCTTTCTACCCTGGCGGACCGGTAAAATTAGATTAAATGTACTCGCGGACCGGCAAAAATTGAAATGGCCGTAACAGAAAAGAATAACATATATTTGCGTCTTATAATGCAATGTCGGGCACTCAATATGCTTCTAGACAAAAAAGCACACTTTAAAACATTTCACACGAAGAATAACTATCAAATAATGTGCCGACCAAAAATTACAAATGAGTGAAACATAAAATAATACCATATATTTGCGTAATGAAATGCAGTGCTGGGCACCCATTATGCGTGAGAAAGGCACGCATTGAATTCTCACATTAAAATAATGCACAATTAACTTCTGTGAAAATTTTGCTTCTGTTTCGTTTCCAATACAAGATTGCGAACGAGGCAAAGAAGTTTTTGCAACACGTAGCTCTGCAGCCGCGTGCAGCCGATTTCCTTGCCTCGTTTTAATCAAAGTGAGGTTTTAATTGAATCGAGTGATGAGAAGGTTTTTTCGCATAACGCAGTAACTGGCTGAAAAGACGGACCACAGTTTGATTGCTCAATTATTTGGCGATGGGTATTCGTTATCAAGAGATATCTAAAATTGTGATAAGTAATTCTTTTTCAATCTGGACTGTAAAGAAGAATCACAATTTTAATCAAGCCTTTTCTTTTTCATTGGGTTCATAATATTAATCCCTCTGCACTTAATCGACGCCTCAAACGGACTGAATTTGCATTACAATGACAAAGTCGTCGATAACTTGGCGACAAGCTCAAAATCCTACTGTGTCTGGAAAAGATCTCTGCGGCTCATGCTTTTTTTGCGTGTATCGCGTGACCACCTGTGGGGTCGCAACAAGTTCATATCTTACTGGATTATTATACTGTTCTTGACTGTTTTCTAGTTTAAACAAGGAGATATCCATTACGTTTCATATGAATGGTCATATTAATCAGGAAAAGCACGCAGAACAGAAAAGGCACGCGTGCCGATTTTTAGGCTTCTTAATTTTGCAAGATTTGATGGAGCGCATTCGCGATGAATCGGAGCTGAAAAAAAGCGAAGAGTGTGAGTGATCGGCGCCAAGATGTCGGGTAATACGGCGCCAACATGTCGCGAAAGACGTCGTAATATGACGGCAGAAGAGAACTGCGTAATGAGCCAACGCAACTTTGTCTACGGTAAAGCGTTGAAACGACATAAAAACAACAAGACAACAAAATTTCTTGCGGACCGGCAAAAAAGCTTCGCGGACCGGCCCCGGGCCGCGGACCGGCGGTTGGGAACCACTGCTATAAGCTACAAGTAACAGATAGTAAGGTTTCACGCTAAGGATAATAAAGATACAAGAACAACAGCGATCAGCAATCTCTAAACAATTAAGATATGTAAATATCCGAAAAAAGGCGGGCGCGATCAAATCTAACAAATATTTTTTGGTACTCCCGAAGTATGCGCACCAAGATGTCGCACAACCTTAACCCCAACCTGGTACACAACCTGAGGTCAGGTTGTGCGCCATCTTGGTGCGCATACTTCAGGAGGTCCTATTTTTATTTTTAATTAGCTTCGTGCCCTCAAAATAATTGTCTACCTCCATCATTTGAGAGCCACTGATCTGAAGGTTAACAAACATTTCAAAATATAAACCACGGAGTTTAGGTTTTCAACCTTCCGTACTCTACCATCATTTTTAAATGCAGGTGATAAATGTGAATGATATAACCATACTCACTGACTACTAACGAAACATAACAACAAGAAAATGAAAATCTAGATAATGAGTTCTGGAAGGATTCTATTACAAACATTGTATAATCTTTATATTTCTGGCAACATGGTTAAATTTTACGTAATCTATTCAGGCACTCTGTCATGAATTACTGCTCACCTTTGGTTGTTTACTATCAACATCATGGCCAAGTGACAGTAGACATCCTCTGAATTCACTCTTCTCCAATTTGCCAGATCTATCCTATTAAAACAGAAAAACGTAAAGACTTATATATATGAGATCAAATGTTTTTAAACACCTTATTACGAACAAAATGGAATGCGCTTCGATGTCTCACACCGCATATACAAAGGCCATCTCGGTAAGAAAGGATTGTCATTTGGTTATTACCTCTTTAGTAACTTAGTCATGCAATCCCAAATAAAATAATTTAGTTGGATATGGATATGTTAAGTGTATTGGCAAAAGGTAGCAAGTTGGTACAACATATGCAATAATCTCGGAGACGGAAAATTTTTACTTTTTCTAAATATATTATGACATGCATTCAATAAATTTGTAGGCTACTTTTCTACCGTTTTGTTCAAATCAAATAAGTAAAATTTATTCGAGCCGTGTCCAAGAAGATTTCTTTTATTATAGACGAAATAGAATATGATGATACTTTGAATTCCACAGGAAAAGTATATCTTTGACTTACTTTATCGAAGTGATCAAACGACGCCCTGAATTCTTTGATTTGATCTTCGCTGAGTGACAAAGCATCTCGTAGAAGAATTTGGTTTTCGACTTCGTTGATGGTTCTACCGCAAGTAGAACGAAGATGATCCCATTCTGTGCGAATATGTTCCATCGTCAGTGCAGTGTGAGGGTTGTCGTATATTCTAGCAAGATTGATCGCCTGAAACAATTTCAATGTTTGTCATTAGGAACGGACCTTTGTGTGAATTCGGTTTTTCCACACATACACATATATATATATATTCTTATTTCAAGGGCATCCAAGGCATATCAGTCAGAGCTATATTTTATGAGAACGGCGATGACAACCTTGAACATGAAATCACGAAGTCACAAATCAAGTTTTTGTCGTATTTCACGAACAAGAATGTTAAATTCCACAATGATATAACAGTCAAGTCAGGCTTATTTTTTTCAACTAGTAAAAAAGTCAGTTTTGCACAAAATACGAAGGAAAAAGATAATCAAACATTTTAACTGGGGAAGGGAAGCCGCGAGGATCCAAAGATGATTATCAAGCAGCGACACCAAAGGATCTAATATATAATAAAAAAGATCGGGAAGTTTAGTTTGGAAACTACTGATTTACCGAGAATGTGGTTTTTATAATGTACTGTATAGAAAATTAATTAACTAAGATATTCAGTGATAGTTATATATTTAGGATTAGATTGAAAAGTCATCAGATCATAAGACTGTCAGGGTATTCTCCACTTCGGCAGCATGGCTTGAAACATAGTTTGGGAAATTTTTAAAGGTGACCTAGGTCAGTAGGTATAGCCACAGGTATAACAATAATGTCGTACATCAGTCATAACCAAATTTAAATGTTTGTTTCTGTACCTGGTGAGTTGTTTCCATTTCTTCAATGTCTGGTTTTCTTTCTTCAATACTTTCAAGATGTTTCTGTAGGGTTTCTAATGTTTCTTCCAAAGATCCAGATGAACTCAGAGAAATTGTCCTACATTTCTGAAAATTGAAAAGTCTTTTGTAGCTAGGGTATTGAGCTGTCAGTTTGGACACGAATGAAGGTTAACTATGAATATGATAACGAAGACGACTTAGTCCATAGACTCAACTTGATAACTATCCGCACTAGTTTCGAAATTGTGCCAAGAGTTGAGGGCGAGTATATGGAGTCGTTGTTTGGCAAGTATTCATTGAAACCCGAGGGTATTTGTTTACTCGTCGAATGATTATTTTACATCCGACTGGTAGCGTCACTGCCTCCATCGAAACCAAACAAATATGAATATTATTGACCTATTAAGGGTAAGCCATGTTTGGCGCTTCATCGGCGAACATGAAGCTTAATTCACATCAGTAAGAATACATCTGCTTACCTCGTTTTGTTCTTGCATCCATTTGTCAGAAGCATTTGCAAGTTCAGCGAAATGAACTCTTAATTTCTCATGTTCAGTTTGTACTTTCAATTCTTCCTCCAAGTCTAATTTACGCTTCTCACTCAGTTCCACGAGTTTTCCCCAGTTTTGCTCAATTTCCTAGTGAAACAAACCATCAAATTGGAAGAAAAATGTCACAAGCACACAAACTCAAAGGAACTATCATTTTCTACACAGTAGAGTAAAATAATGCTTCTTAAGGTGCGATGTTCGAAACGCTTTACAGCAGTGGTCGACAAACTGCGGCCCGCCGGGGCACAATTTTTTCTGACCCTCCAACTACCTTAATTTTATTACACAGAAACAAAAATAGGTCATACGTTATGTTGTAACAGGGACTGTTGTACGGCCTTTAATTTGTAGTAACGAGCATAAGTGAAAGCACATGTGCCTACCGTTACTTTTAATTAACACAGTAGTAAGAGTTGTGGCTGTGTCACAATTTGAAGTTTGAAATGGCGATTGGTTACAGGAGGAAATTGGTGTTTTACGCACCTACTGGAAATGTATAAATTTTGCCCAGTAGTAAGTACATAAAGTTTGCAGACACTGCTTTACGGTATCAAAGTATTTGAACACCCAACTTGTGATATCATAGTCCTGGTTCCCAAAACTACGCCAGTTTATAAGCACCATTCAAAAATAATAATAATACAAGAGAAATATTTTTCTAAGACACTCTATCAACATTTACTTACGTTAGGTGACACAGAAGTGTAATGATTTCCTGTTTCGGGATCCGCAGCTGTTCCGCTGTATTCCATGATCGAATTTTTTTCATTTTCTGCGTCTCCGATGCTTGCTGTAAACGCTTCGTGCTCTACGATTAATTCCTAAAATCAAAACAAAAAGAGTATTTGAGTAAATGTAAAATATAGAAAAGTTGATTATTTTGCGTTGATAGACCGGTGCCTCAATAATTGTGTGTCCCCCTTTACCGCCTTTAACGCATTGCCCCACTTCGCTACGCCTATTTCATTTGCCCCACTGTTCTGCGTTAGGGTAGGCATTTATTCTGGGACATATGGTTGAGGTAAGCATGTGTTCTGGATTACGATAAATATCAAATTTTGTAGAAAATCGCGAGTATTCATACAAATCAAGATTGATACAATTCGGACAAGTGCAAGGGGTATGTTAGGTATATATATACCAGGCTGTAATACATTTTGCGCACTGCCTGAATGTAAACACGGTGATAGCTTCATCTACATCTAAGCAAGTGTTGATGTCAGTTATGTCTTGGTAAAAATCAAATATTTACGAGAACCGATTTTAATCGAATTGTTAAACTACGTTACGATTTTACTGGTTCAACTTGTGATTTCCAATAATTCAGAAACTACGCTTTGTCTTACATTACACTCGTCAATTGAGTGAACAATATGAGTATCTTCCATATCTTCCATTGCACTCAACATCCAGTTGTTGAGTTTTCCAGCTCTCTTTGCGTATTCCAAACATTGATTCTCGAGTTCTTCAAGTTCTGCCTCCTTTTCCTGTATTCAACAAAGATTTATATTTTTATATGTTTATTCATTTTCCACAATGAAATGAATTATGAGAATATGTACAAGTAGATACCAATATTCAAAAGATAATTCGAACTTCGAAATCAGGAATGGGCAAATTACGGCCCGCGGGCTGCATGCGGACTGTCAAAGCATGCTGTGTGGCCCACTTCTCATGAAAGCAAGTTGTGAAAATTTTTTACAACTACGTGCAAGATTTACATTTATTCCCAAACTTCATTTAAAAAATCTAAACTGCGAGTTGGTAAAATAATATTATTTTTATCTTCATTAATGTCATTTACTATTAAATTCAACACTATCACAGCGAATGGGAATAGTAACTGTGGCATAATTGCAAATAAGAATTGCAAATAAAATTCTCTGAATGCGGCCGGCCTACCCCTGGATTAAATAAAAAAAAACTTTCCCAAGTTTATTTATTACCTAATTAGCATCTTGTATGGTTTTAATCTTGCAAGGGATACTTTTTTTTCGCGGCCCCCGGGTCTGAAATAAAAATCTTACAATACCTTCAATGCAGCTGTTCTTTGATCCATTTCGGTACTTAGAGTTTCCCAGTCTTGTTTCACTTCATTGTTGATGTTCACGATAGTGTCAGCATCATAGTAGTGGAGTTTACTGTAAATAATATTCACAAGGGTTTGAATTTCATATTATGAAAGCAGAATCAACGAACAATTTATTATTTGTCCATCAAAGGAATGCTAAAAACCTAAAAGTGGTTTAAAAACGTAAATAATATAATGCAAGAGATTGTCTATTACAGTGTTTTTCGACCCACTCTTTCGCGGCTCTCAGGAACTAAAATTAAAATCCAGGCTATCCTTGGGTGATAGTGGGTATCAGTATTGGGTTCAAATTTGATCGATTTTAACGCTACCCATTGGAGTCTTTTGCGTTGCATCTGTGGATCGTGACCCCCATTTTGAAGAGCTCTGGCCTATTATATCAGAGTCTTTTTAATCATATTGCAGTTGTGGGACCTCCTGAAGTATGCGCACCAAGATGGCGCACAACCTAAACTCAAGTTGTGTACCAGGTTAGGGTTCAGGTTATGCGACATCTTGGTGCGCATACTTCAGGAGCACCCAGTTGTGTATATCAATGTTATGAAAAACGATTCCTATTATCTCTGACAACGGTATTTTTAGGGTGACAGGGTCAAGGTTAATTCAACTAGATATTGATTTATGATATTCAATATTGAAACTCAGCAATCTTGAGTTCGTGCTAAAGTTACAATTGTTCAGAGGAAATCAACTCTTAATATTCAAATGCTAAAATTTTTAATCCTTACTTGAGCTCCTCAGCAATTTTATCGATCTGTTCAACTCGTTCGCTATGAGCTGCATAGTCGCTCTCAAATGCTTCATGTTTCTTCAGCAAAGCCTTTTTAAATAGAAATAAAAATTTTATTTACGACTTGAGCAGCAAACAACTCGTTCAGAGGCGCTCCAGAAGTGTGTTTACCAATATGGAGGTATCTAATTTTGTTCGCTCATTTAACATCAAGCTGTGTGAAGGGACTGAAAACTATGGACAGAGGGTATATTTAATTGGCTAACGCAGATAGTCCCCGAACCCGTAATAGAACCAAAATAAAGAAAATCGGAATAAAATTGTGGTCTAATCATATCCTAGTACACACGAGAGTACCCTTTCAGCAGTTGTGATGATTTCTTACCTTGCATTGCTGCAGAGTACATTCTTTATAATCGTCACTGTTCAGCACTTCGTGTTTCCCTTCAGCCCATCCTTTATGGACAGCTACACGATGATGGAATTTTTTAGCAAGATGTTCTAAACTTTCCAATCTAATTAAAAAACAATTGTTATTGAATCGTATTTCAAAGATGCATAGGAACAGGGTTTCGCGAACTGCCATCTAGGAAAACGAACAAAGATCTTCATCAAGTACAATTTGCGATGTCTACTTTAACTATTTTTTTAATTTGTTATGATTTGAATTTTTTGCATTTCACCTTTAGCTTTGGTTTTTTTACGTTTTTATTTCTAAACGTTGCGATCAAAATGAATGATGTGAATAGTTCAAAGACGGAATAGGTAGTCTAATAGAAATGCAGTGGGCAGAATTGTTGAGAGGTTTTGAGAAGAGCCACATATATATTTTGGAAGTTTGAGTACCATTGTATTCACCCTTTTATCAAAAGACAGAGTTTTCAAAATTTTTCATTTAGGAGTATTTGATATTTTACCTTCTCATTTCTGACAGCAGCCATTCCTCATATCCTTTCTCCGCGCCTTCAAGTCCTTTCCACGCTGATGCAATGTCCGAAACCAGTTTCCCTTCTGATGGCATGTAAGCAGGTCTATTACTCAGTCTGAGCTTAGTTTGCAAAGTGTTGAAAATACTTTCTAGCTGGCCTTTTTCCTCGGCCTGTAAAACATATTTTTACCTTGATTGTCAAGCAAATAGCATGTATATTTATGATCTTTCGTTAGATCATTGTCTAATTTTACCCAGACAAAATATGATATAACTTAATAAAAGAACGAATAATGAAATAGCAGATTCTAAGATTCCCCCCATTCTTGTGGCAATTGACGTGGTATAACCCTCTACCAGCATACCCAATGCAAAAGAAATATTTGTTTCCAAAAAATGTTGCATGGGAATAAAACAAACACAAAAAGGACACACGGCGTTTGTTTTGCACCGACCTTTGGGGGTTTCTGTGTTCTTCTGTAATCTCTAAAATCCTCTAATTTCTTTTGAAGATCTTCCATCGTGTTGTCAGATGTTCTATTTTCGAGAGTGGGTTTAGTATTTTCAATCCATTCGAGAAGCTATAAAAAAGTAGTAACATTTTAGTTACCACACATTTTTTTCTATCGTTCTATCTACCGTTTTCTATCGAAAACGGATAAAATTGCTATTTCATTCAACGTATTTCATCTAAGTTTATGGATAATTATGGATGCTGATATACATTTATAAATTTCTAACTTGTTGTTAAAGGAGTTTGGTAATAGAGTAAGAAACAATAGTACAGAGTGTCATCAGAGCCATCTTTTTTGTGACAATATAAATGTTTGATAGAAATATTGGCAATGTCGATTGAATTGATTCATTTGTCAATGAAATTGATGGTATGTCTAACTACTCACATCACTGGCCAGCTTCTCATATTTGTCCATAAGTTCTTCATTCTCTTGATGAGCTCTCAGAGCTTGGTTGATCCTGTTTGCTGCTTGTTCAGCCTGATCGTTCGAAAATGAAAATAATATTAATGAAAAAAATATTATTATGAAAAAAATTTTCAAACTTTTTTCAAAAATAATATTTTTTTCATTGTATTTATAAAAATTCCTGCACAAGTTTACTACGACAAGATTGGAAAAGGCTATTTGTGTAGTGGTGAACTAATTTGAAAAAAGAAGAATGAAAACCCGGTCGATTTGAAAATCCCCTTTTAATAGCACAGTCAGCAGCTGACTGAAACCTTCAATTTTAAAACGTGAGTAACGTATCATATTATGATGTCGTTGCATATATTATAACAATCTGTGCCGAAATATCAGTCGGGGACATGTTGTAAATATTGCTATACTTACAAGCGCTAAAAATATTTACCTTCTGAGCTCCAGAGAATGCATGATAATAGCAGGAGACATACGTCATGACAGCTCTTTCATCGGGTTTAGCAATGTCGATCAAATCTGCGTGAAAAAAACTGTTAATGCTAAAACTGTAGATACGAATCGTTATCATAATATTATCAATTTGTATTGTCAACAATAAGGTGGTGAAAGTATCATCTGTTTGCTTTCTGTTCGATAATCAACAACTAGAGAACTTGTAAATATGGATATTCAAATTTGGACTCTAGACATACTGTTGACTTGTGTTGTAATCAGATATTTGACACGACATATGGTATGTTATCATATACGCTCCATTAGTTTATCAGTGGCAATATTTAAGCTGCAAATATGACCTATAGTGTGATTTGTAAATAAATATATATTCCCCAAAATGTCGTTCATAAACTCATCATATCGCTGAATAAAGTATGATTGACTAATCTTTATATGTGGTACTAATAAATACCTTCTGGATCCAACATTCTAGGAATGTCCAAATGTTTCTCAGCAACTTCGAAAGCAGTTTCAAGATTTCTGCGAGGGTCTTCCTATAATGACGATTTGCAACAGAATATGTAAATTTGTTACGTAAAATATTAGTTCATGTAAAACTACATGGCTTTGGGGTTTGGTAGTTCTGCCTATAATTAACTTGAAGTCGCGCCGCTGGTTGGAGATTTTAGATTCAAATTTAATGCTCAAAAGTGATTGATTGAATGAATATAATATATCAACTTATCTGCGTTTTTCGAGGCAGACATCTAAAAACCTCGTAAAATGGTACAGGAAGAGTTACAAACTTCCAAATATATATAAGTTTTACTGATAGATGAATATTAGTAGTATGGGGAGAGATTTGATGCTGAAACATTAAATATGAGGTAAATCACTGATGCCCAACTTAGCCAACAGTAATGGCTGTGTACTTGATCAACAAACGCAAGGGGGTTTCAAACCGCTGTGATGATGCGACGTACTTGAGGTAAATGACACCGATATTACCAATTGTGTAAATATTAATAAAACACGTGGATCCAACATCAATTGGAATTTTTGGAATTGATTTTACGACCTTAACAGCCATAAGTCAAGTCATAATACAAATGCAGGGTCGTGCTATGCAAACCTGGCCAATGTAATAATTCGGCCATGGAATGTCAATAAAATATTATTAGCCTTCAATCCGAAAGGGTATTACAAATTGGGAACAGCGTATTATTCCGAATCAAAAACCGCATTTTAATACCCTTGAAATATTATTATCCCTTCAACCGAAAGTTTGTGTGAATACTTTTATTTCAAATCAAGTACCGGTATAACACATTAATAATTTCGATATTGCAATTTCATATTTTCTTCAAATCCAGTTATCGATATGAATTCAAGTACTAACATATTAAAATACCTTTGAGAGTGACTCGTAGTTTGGAATCAAATCAGGACGATGTCTATGTATAAGAGCACAAAATGCCAATCCATCTTTCCAACTGAAATCAAAAAATATCAATCAAGTGCATTGTCATTTGATAGGAGTTTGGCTATAAATAATCACCCAAGTCATGAATAATTGAAACAAGTTTCTATAATTAACACGAAAGAGGATGGAATCTTACAATTATAGACTGAATTGCAGCTAAGCTCTATTGTCTTACACAATGCCCGCAATATAACGAATACTAAATTGAAACAGCTCATTACTAAGAGAAAAATAGAATGATGAGATAGTAATTAGTGTTGGATTTGCCGCATTGGAATGCGAAATACATTTCACTATAAATTTCATATTTTGTTTTAAACACTGCTGTACCCGCATAATATTCTGAATCAGTTTCGAAACTTCAAATGGGATAAACTAACTTCAGCTTTCCGGGAAGACAGTCCCGTTCTAAATTTCGATGTGTTATACAACGTTTAAAGGCCATTCGAACACACTTTCCATAATACTATTAGTAGGTATAATTCTCGCCAAAAAGAGCTCATGTTTTTATCGATATGTGAATATGATATATTTTGTTTGTACATATGCTCATGTTCATACACAAAGATATCCATTGGCATTCTTGCAACACAAATTCACAACCACAATATTATAATTGTGGCTAGTTAAACAATATCGATGCGTGGTGATTGTCCTTAATCAGGAAATAAAGTTGCGGTTTATATTATGAGTCAACGGAATGTAGTGTATGATTCATATTATAAACATATAATACAGTGTGTATTCTGCACAAATATACTTCACGTTAAGCTAGTATTGTCGGGTATTTCAATAACGCTGTTTCTAATTTATTTTTCAATGAACACAATGTTGAAGAAAAGTATGGATAATGATACATTATCACAATCACAACTTCTAAACAATCGAGTGGGTACTCCCGTAGTGTGTGTACCAGGTTAGGCCATAATTTTATACCAATTTTCTTTAATTTAGTTCTATTACGAGTTCGGGGACTAGCCAAGTGACTCCCGTAGTATTCGTATCTGAAATTATGGCCCGACCCTAACCCTAACACATACTACGTTAATGTGTCCGCCATCTTGAATCACATACTACGGGAGTATCTGGCTTTCAGAAAAGTCTTTTTGTCACATCATTCAAAGTTATCACATAGTTTCACGTCGTTATATATACAGTTATTGGAATCTTATTGATAAATTGTTCATCGGGCTTCAAAATGATGCGTTTCCGTGTTGTGACTTATTGCCGATTATTGTGCTTACATCGTCGAAACCCGTAAAAAGAAATTGCTGAGAGTGTAACAAAATCAGCATTTATAGTCAAGATCGCTGCTTAAGTAGAATTGGAAATCTGATCCAGAGGGCCTAAAGTGTAATAACGTTCACTTTGCAAATCTGTGTTCAACGAAATGACAATGTGTGTGTTCGATGATTGACTATTGGAATTTTTATGCAACATGAAGCAAACCATTTACGTGCGTACGCCGGGGAAATCATTGCCAAAAGTTGTATTGACTTCCTCGTCAAACTATGAATCCAAGAAAATTACAAACTTTTGATTTTGATTAATTTAAGTTGACCACGGCGTTTTCGTTATAATTCCCATTGGTGAAGAATTTGGTGAAGTAATTTCTTAAAAATCGAAATCATATTACAATTTCACATGTCTTAACAAATATGCAAAACAAATCAATAAATATAATCTACATATCAGTTACTGATACTAAGTATTAATATTGCAAATTACATCAAATCAACAAATGTTTAATCACAAATATATACACGCGTCGTTAAACTGTGATAAACAATTACAATTCAAATCATCGAGATTGTCATAATCGTTTATAAAATATTTCTGCAGCATTTCTACTATAAAGTCAACCTGTGATCGATAATCGTGATTTAAAGTTATAAATATATGAATCATTTGTGGTGACATCATGTTTGCTGCAGAGAATACTTAGACATCGTTTCCATATAAGGCAACTGTGTATTACTATGCGTGTGTTGCAAGTACCGTGGACTAAATATAGCTTATCTGATTTGCTATACACTATACTACAAAACGCCGCATTGAAAAATTAAGTATGGATCGTTCTCGATTCAGTACACTAAGGCACCAACTAGAAACCGGTAATCATTCTTATTTAAATACGGTTCTATATACCTATTTTCGGTAAAAAAAAAATGGGGATATTTTTTATTATTTTGCTGAATTTTTCAAATCGTTTTAATATAATTATATTCAATTAATTAAACAGAGAGTCGTCGACACTCAAAGTGCAGTCAATGCCCTCTATCTCAACTACTGTGTGATTATTCCATATCCAAAATATATCATATTAATAAGCAGCTCATGAAAATAATACCACCTCAGTGTATTTTAGTGATTTCAGGTGGTAATCTTTGTTTTGTGGAATAATAGAGAAAAAATGTCCAGAAAATAAGTTAATCGGGGTTCCCGAAGTATGCGAACCAAGATGGCGGACATCGGAATGTAATATGTGTACTAGGTTAGGGTTAGGCCATAATTTTAGGTATAAATACTACGGGAGGCTCTTGGCTAGTCTTCGAACTGATAATAGGACTAAAATAAGGAAAATTGGAAAAAAATTATCGCCTAACCCTAACCTAGTACACATATTACGTTCCGATGTCCGCCATCTTGGTTCGCATACTTCGGGATCACCAGTTAATCGGTATTTAGGAAACACCATCCACGCAATATTTTTGATGCTAGAATTGCGACCATGTTATTATTAATTTTTGTTAATGGCTCAATGTGTTTGTAGCAAATTATATGCTTATAATAGAGTGAGATTATAAGTTGCCCTTGTAAAACAAACCTCATATGAAAGTTTTGCACTTTTACATTCTTGTAAGGTGCGGTTTTCTTCTGACACCATAGCAAGAGACCTTCCTTAGCAGACGATTCTGAAATACAAAGTATATATAATGAGATACAAATTAATTTAATGTTAACTATACTAATTTTTGCTCTAGACAAATTGGATAATTTATGTCAATTCTAAATGATGATGGTAATAAATGAATAATTATTAATAAGCTAATATCATTACAATGCGATTTAGAACACATGTCTAACTTTTATCAGTATCTGTAATAGCCAAGTTTATTTTTTTCAGCCAGTAAAATATAGCTTACAAAATAAAGAGAAATGAAATTTGAACACACAATTTTACCGGGGAGAAGCCGTGGGGAGTCAAAACTAGTTATCAGACAACAAAACCGAAAACGTTGATATATAAATAAAATTATTATATAATTATATTAAAGTATTAGTAAGAATGAAATCTGATCATCAGCACAGAGTCTGATTTATTTTGCTAGGGTTCACATAAAACGCTGGGGTAACTAATATTTGAATTATCTATATCAGGGGTGCGACCTTCAATACAGGAGGGCCAGATACAAATAACTGGGTAAAACCGCGGGCCGCATATTTATTTAACATAAGCTTTCTAGTAGTTGTGGGCACAAAAATTTTGGTCATTGATCTTATGGCATGTGTTGTTCGCTTTGCATAAGCTAACTGTTAGGGCATTGCAACGTCATAATAGACATCGATAATAAATTGGACTCGCGTATAGATTTTGGAATGCAAAGGGATTGGCACTTCTACGCGGGCCGCGCAAAATTTTTTTTGGCCGCATTTGGCCCCTGGGCCGCAAATTGCACACCCCCGATCTTATTATAACAGACTATGGATAAACCTTTCAATCTTGTTACTAGATTGAGTGAAATACTTCATACCTTCAACAGAAATGTCCTGAATGCTGAAACGCAAAATCACAGTCCAGATCATGCCAAGAGTCATCTTCAGGTTTCCGTCGACAATTTCTGAAAATGTTTGTTTAAAAGTTACAAAGTTTAAATTTACAACGGTTTAAATGTCTGCAGTATAACATTCAGCCATTATTGGAATACTGAAGACAATGGCATACAATTTGTTTGACAAAATAGCTGAGGGCACTGCTCCTTCAGAGGCGTTAAAACTTCATAACAATTATCAATCTGTTCATCATTGTCATATTCAAAACGTCTTTGAGTATGTTAGTTTTTTGTTTAGATAGTATGTTTGCATTTACCATTTCTAGTTTTGAAACGATCATAGGCACTCGTCGCCAGTATGCTGCAATCGGGCACCTCCGACTTGGCTCAAATTGTCAACTAACATGTGCTGGTATTTGATGAGAACGACTTTTAGTAACATTTCTTATCTTTTCTTTCGAGATTTCAGTGCTTAATGTTATTCTCTAACATTGAGGCAATAAATAATGTGTCAGTTACCTTCAGCTCCTATTCCAACAAGCCTGACGCCTTGACTTTTAATAAAGTTGAGGGCCATGTTCACGTTAGAAACATGATGGACACGCATTTTCCCTTTCTCTGGCTTCCCCAATTTTTCATCAGAAATAATCTGCAAATAATATTCATATTATTATAACATGTCGTTTAAATTATGCAACGATACTTTGGTTGTAGCCGAAGGAATATTTTTCCAACAAAGTTATAATTGGAAATGAACAATGACGTGGATAATTTACCGTACTATTGATTGCTTTCCAAAATGCAGCACCAATTCGTGACTTATATATGAATGATATATATATATATATATATATATTTGATAATCATAAACAATTAAAAATATAGTCTTGGCGCGATGTCTCACCAAACAACTTAGGCAAAGCTCAATTAAAATATCTCTTTTGATTCGATTCTAAAATCTGAGTTTACTAAGATGAATCAAAGAAGAGAATATTGGGTGCTCCCAAAGTATTGTACCAAGATGGCGCACAACCTGAACATATTATGTATACCAGGTTAGGGTTGTTCAGTTGTGCGTCATCTTGATACGAATACTTCCGGAGCGCCGAATATTGTGTATATCATAGCTTACCTCCAATAAAGCCAAAAGCTTCAATCCGCTTCGAAAATCTTGGTCAATTTCTTCGATATTTAGTTTACGTTTTCTTAGATGGGAATTGCACCAAGCAGTAAATGTCTAGATTTAAAATAAATGAAAGTATATTCAATTCATTATTATATAAAGTTACTTGTTAACATGGGTCATGCAAAATATTTTAAGTGGAATTCATTTTGTTATGGTTTATTCAACAGTTATGGGACGCTCAAGCGCGAGACCACAAAATATATTATTACTCAATTATAAAATAAAATATCACTTATTGTAAGCATACTCGGGAGTAAAAAAATCCGAGTCAATTTCTTGAAGATGCAGTGGCCAAAAATTTGTTTATTTTAGGGCTGACCCTGTCAAAATAAGGTCAATAGAGCAAGCCCCAACTGAAGTATAATCAGTTGAATATTACGGAATATTTACCTTTTTCTGCTGGCGCTCCCAAGCAAGATCCATAATCAACTTTTCGCCTTCGAGTTGTTGCTGATCTTCCGCCATCTTTTTCTATTTAGTTATATTCCAACGAATAATGCTGCATGATTGGGTAAAAACAATCTATTTAAATGAAATTTCCCACACCTTGTCATTGTAAGATATCTTACTAATGTCGCTCCCATTCTTCCATAATGATATGGAAGCCGACCTCGTTCGAAGAGACTCAAAATAGTAACCAATATTATATTGGGTATTACTTATCATTGGGAACAATTTGAATTAAGTCGTCGTTAAAGGAAGCACGTTTACATTGTATTAGATTTAGTCTGTTTATATTTTGATTAGTGTTTAAATACGTGCAACTTTGATTTCCTGAGCTGTACTTGAACGCATTGTTCATATAAATAAGTGAACTGAACATCGAAATCTATCAAGTATAGGAAAAAAAGTGAACTAAGACAAACCACTTTACGCTACTACACTTGGTATAATAACTTCTACGATATTTCTGTAGTATTTAAACTAGCAAATTCTAGCAAATCAGTAACTATAATGTTACTTTACAAAGACTACAACTGCTCCTAAGTACACATTTGGTCGAGGAATTAATCACTACCTGATGATGGACAAAATCGTTTCATATATCACTCAAACACCAAACAACTTTATAAAAGTCGACAAATAAAGCAAGCACGCAAAGTTGAAATTACTGAGTACACCAAGCTGAGGATCAATACTTTCCTCAATTTGATTCGAAAGCATTTACAAAATGCGTCGTGCCAAAATTCTAGGTACGCAAGACCTACGAGGGCATGAGGCAATTTCTCATAGCTTCTAAGAAAAATTTCAATTAAAGGAAAATTTATGAAAACAGTAGGTCGACTGTGAATGGTATTTTTAAAATAAAAAATTCCTTTCTGACTCAAACTCATTTCTCTGCACTATATATCCCGCTCTGTATACCATCAATTCCATTAATTAATATTACACAGGCCCTCTTCACTGATGTAACTGATTTTACAAATTATACACGAGCTGTCGTTATTATACTTCGTCATCGCGGTTACAGTTGTAAATCCTTAACAAGCGCAAATACCTATTACCACGCACATTTGAACAAATACTGCTTTGCTGTTTAATTTGTCATAAATCTGTCAATAACTTCATCGCCGCCTTTAGGTTGCGTCGCGTGTTTCCTCGTCCACACCCAAATCTCCTACAACCAATAAGCAATATCTAACTTCTTCCAAAGCCGGTTCTCCTGATTATGCCCCTGTGTTTTTCTCTCTTCAGCGTTGAGAAGAATGACTTCCTCGTACAGAATAATGCAATACGTCATGCCTCATACTTCCTCTTAGATAATAGAACAGGAAATGAGCCATGCTTGCCTTGCAGGCAGCGCGTGTGTTCTTCTGCGCGTACACAAATATAAGCTGCCTAAAAGCACGGACAGTTTCTAGGCTTGTTACATTACTGTAAAAGCCTTCTTAATACTGTGGATCTCATAATACAGATATATTCACGCAGGCTATGTAAAAACACCATTTTCTCAAATACCTTTTATGATAATATAATGAACTTATTTGCTCCGAAACAGCAGTACATTTTTTTCTATTTTCTAGTATGTAATATCAATCACATCACTCTTACAGTAAAGTCTTCGTGCAATGTGTGTGGCAAACGCCGGCCGGCGTCGCGTTTTGTATAGTATATTGAATGTCGTTAGCATTACCATAAAGTATCGAAATAGACGTGGTTTTATTGATAATAATAGATCATCTTTTATTTCTATTACAGTATAATAGTCATTATGCGGTAATAACCTGTCAACCTTTTGTTATTCATTTTTTTTTTAAATTTCGACTTTCTGATCAATAAAACTGACTTTGATGAAAACCTTATTTTAAGTAACTGAGTGGGGTATGAATTATGTCTTAAAGTCAAGAGTATGCGCCCTTATACGCTTACAAGCTTTAATTCCATCACATTTAAGTGCACATTCGAAAATTACTATAAATAGGCCTATACTTTAACAATAAATCTAGTTGTTGTAATATCCTAACTAAAAATACGACTCTGCTGATGTAATCAATTGCCGCATATATTTTCCAGCAATGCCAAATTTGTTGGTGGCCAATAATTTCATTCAACCAAAAACGCGAACTCTTATAAAGAGGAAGTCTTAAACTATCTAACTTTAAGACTCACGCCCATATGGATCATTCTAAACTGTACCCAACCTACTTTACGTATCGACGACGTTGGTCAGTATAAGATATATTACTCACAGAACAGCTTGCTTTATTGATATTCAGATCGATTTATATCAAATTAACTATCTTACATTGCACCGCGAAGATACACAAGATTGAGTGTTCACCTAGCGCAATTTACTGAATAATCCACATTCCACAACGCAAAGATTGCTTCATTTGTATAAATATATACTTTGTTAGATTTTTATCACTTGCTCAAGAATGTTTGATTTTTTGCGCACTGTTGAGGTTGTTATTCCATTATTGAAAGTTACCATTTTGTCGAAAATATGTGAACCATTGCATTTTCTATTTCGCTTTATTTACTGCCTGTAATCGTTCTTACTGTAGCTATCCTTGATATGTCTTATGTATCAACTTGATTAAATTTGAAAATCGATAACTCATACACTGTTTGTTCTCCTGTAGATTTACGCGGCTTTTTATCGGCTTCGACATATGTGCCTTTTATTACCAATACGATGAATCGCGACAATTTATAAATATTTATTTTGTACAGTTACAATAAACTCATTTTTACAATAGATTGCCGGTAGCGAATCAGGAAACGCAAACATCCAGTCTAAACATGCATCCAGTAAAATGCAGCGATAAATACCAAAATTAAACGAAACAAGGTGCGCAATTCTAAATTTTGATGACGTTATCATACACCCAAAAAACGAATCCCATACAGCCCACGGAAATTTTTAAAATATATATATAAAAGTAATTATAGCCTTCTAGCGAAAAATACAATTTTAGCCACTGAAAATTTTAGAGCAATTGACCCAATTTTATATATATATATATATATGAAAATGGTTTCATTACATTTGAACCCGTAATTTGAACCCACGACGATTGCACCTGCATACTATATTTGAACCCATACTAACCCTAACCCGTGGATTTTAGCACTCGCATATAGATTGAACCTGCGGATATACGGGTGCAAATGTATGGGTTCAAATGTGCTGTCAGCATGAAAATACCAACAAGAACAGCAGTATAATAACAAAATGATCCATATTTACATTTTGTGTCCAATAATTCCAACTCTACATGGTGTGCGTTAGGAAGAAAAATTATGATCCAAGCCGACCATTACAGATGAATTCGCCACATCAGTCTTATATTGCCGCAATTGATGTTTAGAAAACCAATTGAACTCGATCTTTGCTCCCACCATGTTCACTTGTCATACACGAATTGGACCAGTGGATTGTTTTGCTGAATTGTTGTTGTATTCGCAACTAATGGACAATAAGTTTCAAAATTTGGGAACTTAAAATGGGATAAGCCTCTAGAGTCTAGAGTCTAGACCAGGGGTTTCCAAACTTTATTGGCCGCGGGCCAAAATTAGAATCGGAAAGATGTTCGCGGGCCGGAAGAATGTAGCGCCCAAAACTTTCATTTGACATTTTTTTGAAACATGCTCGTTCGACTCATAATAGCGCTCAATGTTGTATTCCTTCAGAACTGGAATAGTTCGTTGGCAAAGTAGACAAATCTCTATAAAGTTTGATACTTTTCAATGGAGAAATACGAACACTGTCATTTATTCAAGAAACGTCAGTTTTCTGAGTCTAGTTTTCGTTTGATTTCTGACATCTTTAAGCTTTCCTATATGACTGATAACTAAATTACTTTCCTTTGTAATTCTAACGCCGGTAACCATAATTGATATACTGGTATAATTGAATTGTTACGATAAACACGTGCTTGAACTCTGATAATGACATAAATTAGCGGTATCTAGATCGCAAAAAGGTAGAAATAAAATGTGTTGAACAGTATTTCACGTAAGCTCGGCGGGCCACTTTAAATCGTTACGCGGGCCGGATTTGGCCCGCGGGCCGCGGTTTGGGAACCCCTGGTCTAGACCAATGGTGGGCACGGTTTTTGGATCAGGGGCCAAAAAATTTTCCCACCTAGACCGGCGGGCCATGTAAGTATGATGTTGCAGTTATATTTTATGAACAATGTTTACACCAGTGGAAAACAATGAACCTCGTGCCGAAACTATATTTAACCGCAATCCCAACAAATTCATTACTTACAGCTACTTTTAACTAAAGCATCAAAATTTGGTTTCAGTTTGGTTGTGGCAGCATCAGACAAGCCAAATTAAATTACCTAGCGGGCCGGATTTGGCCCGCGGGCCGTACTTTGCCCATGTCTGCGCTAGACAGATATTCCATATATATAAATTTAATCAATTCCGCCAAGAGTTGCTTATTTCACTATATTTTCTGCTGTGAATTAGCACCTAGGTGTCGCTGACTATATGATACTTTCGAGTCTTCCACGACACGTCATCAACCATGGAAATAAATACCTGAATCAACATTTTATTTCCTTGAGCATATCGCGCCACCACGTGGCATTACGACCGGCTAGCACGTTATCTATTTGACAAACCGCTGCTGAACTCTTAGGTTTCTCTACCTGTAGCAATTAAACCGTATTAGTATATATTTACGATTAACTGCTACGGCGGCATATGACATGATGAAGGTGGGATTTGAGTTGGAATTTTGATTCAAGGCACAAGAATGGTGAGATAATTATTTTTTTGTGAGTAGAATAGGTTACGTCAATTAGTTGTTTTACTTGTATCTTCGTGTTCATGTATTTATGCAATGTTCTCTTGTTTATCATACCTTTCAAGGTAATATCTACAGAAGTGCTCGTAGATGTTCTTCTTTCAGCGTTGCGGATTGTTATGTATATTTTAGAAACGCTAAAGGAAGTTTCAATACCAGGGGTTAAAATCTCTACTTTATGAACCATCGTTGTCAATGTCTCAAGAGTACGTCTTAACAAGTGAACTTGCCGTTTGCCGAAAACTGCAATTCGCCTGTAACACATTAGTTTCAATTTAAAAAGTACAATGAAGGTGGAATCTAAGCCGTTGATAAATCGATCTTTTCACGTCCCCTATGACTAGGGTTACCATTTTTTTGTGACATCAAAGCGGGACGCCTTCAAAAACCATAGCTGTGGTTTTTTCATCTTTAAATTCACCGATTTTACATTGGGAGCCTACATTTAAAACCATCACGGCTGTCTTCATTGACCAGGTTGTCATAGAGAGTTCAAGCGCTATCTGTCTAAATACCAGATTCAGTTCGAAAAATAGAAAAAACAAATTGTAGCAATTATCCGCTAACAATGCAGGAAAACAAACAAAACCATACTTCCACCTTCAGTAAGTATAGGCTACCGGTACGCTACACAGCAATAACAGTATCTAGAACATGCTAATTGGTAATGTTGGTGTATTATGCTGACTGACTGAACTACAATACATGAGATTAACATCAGGCCTGTTACGTGGCTAATGGAATATTTTCACATTAAGCAGTCAAAGGGTGAAGACAGAACAAAGGGCATTTCGTCGCCATTTTTGTCCAAAATATCCAACAACAGGCGAGATCAATAGATTAATTGCCACAACTGAACTCAACTCTTATTCAGTAAATTCGTTATATATATATAATTTCAACATATCATTAAACGTTCGGGCAACATATAAATGCAATATATTAGGAAAATCGAATTATTTAAAAAGCCTAACCTAACCCATAAAAAGACGATTTCGCGCTTGGTGGCCCTACTCCTTGAGCAAAAACGTAATGTAGCCGGCTGTAGTAAAAGATTGCACATCCCATTGCATTACATGAACCCCAAAGAGAACGACATCGAATATATAGTGCGAATTTTACATTTAAGTATGATATTATGCATTACGTTGAAATGAGAGTTGTTAAATAAAATAGATGCCAGAATTCTGAAATGCCATACCTTATGAAGTATGCAATTAGGTGGACTATAATCAACAACATCAACCGTCCGTTTTGGCAATAGGCACAGTTGATCGAAGTTTAAAACGCTTAATTCAAATCGAATAGTTTAGCCGCACTGTTTCTTTCAGTGCTTGATGTCAGATATAATTGTGTTTTGCGATTGTTTCTCCAGTTGATGCTATTTTTTATTTCCATCAATTGCTTCATTCTCGTATTTAAATCTTTTCATCTCCGGTTTGATGCTGACAGTAAGTATTTGGATAATGATGAAAAGAATAAGAACAATGACGTAGAATTGCAATTTTCCAAATTGTGTCATTACTGCACGAATAATAATAGGGAGCAGTACACAAAAAACACTTCCTATTAACGAAACTAAAATCCCCTGCGTAGATTCTTGTACCGTGGGGTATACATGTTGCTTTAACATCTCTTGTATGAAAGGATAGAACGACATCATTGACAGTCCGTACATGAAGTTACTGATATATTCCAGTACTTTAATATTATATATGAATGTCAGCATTGCCAAAACTACGTTAACACAAATGGAAAAACTTATTATATTGGCAACTGGATTGTAGGATTTCAATCTATCTACTATGACGCCCATTCCAATAGAGCCAACGATCCCGCCGATAGAATACGATGTCAGAACAAAACCTCTATTAACGGATATGTCAGTGGCATCGTCAGACAACAAGGTGCTGTTCCCCAATTTTAACTCTGATTCGTTTGCTGGTACAAGCATATATTCAGAAACAAAAACACCTTCGATTATGGAAAACATCAGGACTAGTGTAAAACTTGTTCTGTCCGTAATGACGTATTTTGTTTCCTTTGCAAAGCGCAGTAATGTTGTTTTGTAGTTATCTTGGTCAGCTCTTTTTGCTATTGATAATCTTTGTAGTTCAGCGTGAGATGGAGGAAGTTTCGGCAAATTTGGTATAACCAAGCATACAATCAGTGAAGAAATACCGCCCAGTATAGACATTGCCAGTAGCAATAATGCAACACGGTTCATCTTGTCTGATAAATCGATATTTTCACCAAACAATACAACTGGCATCGAGGAGGCGACAATCACGGCGGCCATGGTTGCGAACCAACCAATACCCAAAACAGTCGCTTGCTCCATTTCTCCAAACCAAACCGTCGCAGTCACCGGCCCTAAAGCATAGAACACGGCACATACAAAACCAACCGCAACCTCTGCTACAATGCAAATAAAAACATATTTCCCAACGTAAATTACAAAGGCACATATGGCGAATGTTACAGTGAGTACGCTTGTCGTACCAACATACCATATTTTCACGACAGTGGGTTTTAAAGAAAATAGATATCCAATAACTGGTCCTGCTATAACTTCTCCGACGCCAGCACTTAATGTTAGCCAATCTATGGTTTTTTGAGAAACTCCGAAGTGTTCTGACAAAGTTTCGTTAATAACTCCAAAAAAATGCCACGCGAACTGGACCAAGAATCCACTTAAAAACAGTAAACATGCCACTAGCCATCTCTTCATATATAATTCAGTTTCTTTGGCAACTAACGGTGTGGAGTTATCTGCTTCTTTTCCGGCCATCCTTGTTCCAGATGAAGATTCAGAGAATTGAATCAAATGTGCATTACAGGCGAATGCTTTCCGATTCTCTGCTGACTCTTTTTTCGAAGCTGTCTAATCATATGTTAAGCACGCACATGGGAAGTAAATATACAGTGTAAACTACGACGAATAGTGTAAGATGCGGGAGAGAGAGAGGACGTAGCAGGAAATATAACGTTAACTGACACGAACGGCTTTATGAACGAAGTGAAAGTTAATATGCAAATTTCCGGCACGTTAAATGTTTTGATTAATTAGTGTTCGACTTGGGATAAAGGCGCGAAAAGACGCCATACCTTTTTTCTGCATATAAGAAGCGGCACACACGTACGACCTATAGATAGTTTTTGTTATGTTGTTGCTATTTGTCATAGAATTTTATTGTTATGAAAAAGTCGCTTTACTTCTTGATTACTGGACCAATTTTCAGTGATTGAAGATTTAATTTTTTGCTCTAAAGCTATTACTTTTATTTATTTCAAATGTTTCTATGAGATTCGTTATTGTGTGCGATGACGTCACCAAAATTTGCCACCCCGTGGCGGTTCCGCCAGCGCATAATTATCAGCCGATCCGTCTTCAGCGATTGCCGGTCTAACTGGTGTTTAGCAAAAGGGAGAAGTTTTTTTTATGTGGAACGGTGGCCTGTTGGACTTGATGTGGCAATACAGAAGTACCTATTTGTCCGTTTAGTCGAGATTTTCGTTTGGTGTAGTCGAATTGTTCGGTTTCCGATACGGCTACTGGTAAGTTACCGCATATGATTTTCGGGGAATTGGTGGTAAAATATTCAGTTTTGCCTCCGTGTCCACATACTTGAGCATAGCACCCTTGTTTTCATTTCTTCTGTATGTCTATCTGTGTGTAAAGTTGTTGCTCCCAAAGAGCTGGACAGACCTAGAAATGAAATTTTCTCACGTAGGTTATCCTGTCACCCCAGTATTTGCGGATTACCCAAGGTCAGGATTGATGCTTTGGTTCCATGGCACCAACGAAAAACACGTGGATCGGTAAAAAATTTTCCGATTTCCTCATAGTTTTTTGCAATTCTCTAGTCAACTAAATAAAATATTAAAATTCCGATAACGCTAACCTCCGCGGACGACAATTCGCTTTTGAACGTGCCGTCCTTCATCTCGGGACTCAAGCATCAGCGGAGATCCTTACTGGTCCTACCTGCTTGTTGTTACATCCTTTTCAATTAGCAGAGGTGTTGACGAAAAATTTTTGCTGCTGATTTGTTCAATTTAATTTTTAAAACTTCATGTCAGAAAAATATTTGTCGTTTAATTATGGTAAGTTATGAGTTGGGTTACAAACTCTATTTGCAGGCCGACGATTTTCAAATTTTTGAGAACGGCGTCCTATTGAACCCGTGCGACTGTTTGCGGATTGAATACGCGACATCGCTGTGGTGATGCTGGTATTCATGTGCTCCGCCATTGGAAAATTTCCATGCTTAAATAGGTAAACTTTGGACAGTTTCTGAACAGCTCAAAGGCTTTACCGGTGCATCATAAAATTCTTTCGACACTTTCGAATATACGACGCAACTACTGCGATTCAGATCCATTAGATAGGGTATTTGGTGTGTGTTTCGATGAATAACTGATACGTTTTGTTACAAAATTTGATTTAAACGTATGAGTATATATGTACCAAAATTCACGAACAAAATGGTGAACCTGGTTGTATCGCAACCCTTAGATATGGTAGTGTAAGAACTTTCGATCACTGTGCAGTCTTTTTGGGCAGCCCTTCATAAAATTAAAACGATTTTGGTAAATTTAAATTTTGAATTAACCTAAATTTCAACGTTGTTCTTTAATAAATACACGATTGCACTGTTTCGTTTATATTCAACCTCGTTTTTGTTTAACCTCGTTTTTGTGAACCCAAAAGTTTGGGAGAAATTTGTCGACAAAAATGGACAACAATTGTTTATACAAATACTATATTGAATGGAATTTAGATAGTCATAGAAAAGTTGCTTATTTTTCATATCCATTGAACTCGCTTGTCGTTGATTGACGCATCCGGAAAATCATTTGTGCAATAGTCTCAAAGCAGCCGCGATAAGAAATCCTGAGTGGTGAGCTGTAGCCGGAACGCAAAATAGACCTTAGTCATTCAAAACCCATCCTACGCGCGAAAAATAAAAGTGGCATAAACAAAACGATTTTAACATTAGCTCTTATGGGGAATGTGATCACCAGAGCAGAAATATGCATTTTTTGTAATTTTCTAGTTATCTTTCATTGTAGACGTGTGCAGTTTTAAGGATAGAATATTATTATTAGATTAGAATATTATTATTTATACACTTTTTGATATTTTCATCATGATAAACATGATCAAGATTTTTGATAATCATTCATTGAAATTATAATTGGCGTGGTGTTTCCGCTGGCGTCTTTCTCACTAAATCATGACATTCTGCCAACGGTTGTGGTCTGTGAAATATGCGCTCCAACTGCTCGTGTTTCTTTAATATGTGATAACAGAATACCGGAACCACAACATACCGTGTTTGACGTTTAAAGAAGGACCCATTTTAGTTAGTAAAGTTTAGTCGGAATGGCAGTCTGTTCACCTATTCAGTCAGATTCACTTTTCCTTACTGGCTTTGCGCATATCCTACCGGTAAATCGAGCGGCTTTTCTCTGAAGGCATGCTGACGTGTTTTTTTCACCTAGTTAGGGTGACGGTACTGTTATTGAATTTGATGTAATAGGTTGGAGATATTTATCTTTGTTTTTGTATACAACTTATCCTATCGGGACCTATTTGCTAACAATTCCGTTATGATTTAGTTTTCACCCCCTTGGTACGGTACTGTACTGGTAGTTTAAAATAAATAACACGTCAGCATGCCTTCAGTAGATGGTTGCTAACAGTACAGGTATAAATGCGTAAAACCAGTAAAAAAAAAAACGCGAGTGAAATGACTATAGATAAAAGGCTCAATTTCAGGCTTATTCCTTACGCCAATTCCTATTATAGAGCCAATAATCCCGCCGAGAGAATACGCTGTCAGGACAAAACATCTATTCACGGATATGTCAGCGGCATCGTCAGGCAACAGGGTGCTGTTCCCCAATTCTAACTCTGATTCGTTTGCTGGTACAAGCATATATTCAGCAACTAAAACAGCATCCATGATAGAAAACATCAGAACGAGAGTCAAACATGTTCGTTCCGTCGCGATATACTTTGATTTCTTAGCGAATCGTAGTAGTGTTGATTTGTAGCTTTTTTGCTCGGCTTCTCTTACTGTCGTTAGTCTTTGTATTTCAGCAAGCGATGGTGGAACTTTTGGCGAATTTGGTATAAACAAGCACAAAATGAATAAAGAAATTATTGCAAGTGTGGACATGGCGTAAAGGCATAGCGCCACATTGGGCATTTTTATTGACAAGTCAATAATTCCAGTAAATAGTATGCTTGGCTATATTGAAGCCGCGACTCCTGCGGCCATCATAGCGGACCAACCGATACCCATGACGGTTGCTTGCTCCTTTTCTCTAAACCAAACTGTGGCTGTCACTGGGATTAGGGCAAAGTACACAGCGCATACAAAACCAACTACAACCTCTTCTATCATGCATATAAAAAGATACTTTCCGACTTATATCACCGTAGCAAAAATGGCGAAGGCTATTGCCTAAACACTAATTGTGACAATATACCATATTTTTACTGCAGTTGGCTTATGATTGGAAAGATAACCAACAACTGGCCCTCCGGCGAACTGTCCAAGTGCGGCACATATGGTTAGCCAATCGATAGTTTGAAATGTCATGCATGTCGTGCAAACATGATGAAAAATCTACTCAAAAATAGTAAACATGCCACCAACCATCTGACTCTATACAACTCAGTTTCTTCACTCTCTAAAAGTGTCGCTGTTTACTTTTTTCGTGGTCCATCATAAGCCCCTAAGTCTTCTCGTACTGCTTTAACAGTCGAATGTGATAACAGTTTCGTACAAGTATTCATTTTGCCAACGAATTCTTCACGAACGTTGGATGAAAGTTATTAGCGGAAGGAAATGATATGCACCTGATATTAAGACGGAAAATGCTGGGAGTTGGTATCTTCCTTTTGAAAAGATATATATCAGTACGTAAGAAATATCCCAGCAGACGTATAATTTTGTAGTTCCTATAACCCTAGAAACTAGTAAAAACTTTCGTCGATGAATTTCCAATTTGAAAAATATTCGTCTCCGCATTTCTGAAATGAGGAAACTTGTTTTTAGTGAGTTTGAAACAAAAGCCTAACGGTGTTCAAAATTTACAATTACTGTATATTAGTACTCTTAGTTTGAGTTGGCGACAACATGATTTTGTAGTGATCGTTTTGTTAAAAAGCTCAGAAAATAAAATGATTGAGTTAGAGGAGGAAGTAAGTAGCATCAGTCAGTCCTAACGACCTCTTTCTTTCAGTAGAAATGAAAGCTGGTGATTGGATGCTAGTCAAAGTAAATAGTGGCTTCCGGCATACCACAACATACTGCTATGTTATACAAACCTTGGAAAGCTATGACCCGGATAAAGACCGGCCATCGATAAATCAATCTAGCAAAAACTAAATTCCAAGTTAAAAAAGTGGCTTATTTGAAATAGATTTGGATGATGTTGTCTGCTCTTTGGAAGATCCAGCACTCACCAGAGACAGAGCAGTCAAATACAAATTTGTGGGGACTGTGGATGGCAGAGAGGCATAGCTGTGCTGTAAATTTCCAGAATATATATATAAATACTGGCTATTCTATGATTTATGACAATTCGTTGCAAATTACATACTTTTATAATTTTATGAAGAAAAAAAACAGCTTCATTGATTGTAGAAATCTTGGTAAAATTATGTTTTACAATAAGCATTGTGTTCTAGTTTTTTGACACCCCTTGGCCCATACCTCACATGATAATTTTTTTTTGTAAATGACATTTTTGTGAAAAAATTCACTTTTCTCCAAGACTGGTTCTGAAAACCCAAAAACAATGCTGGGAATGGTTAGCTGTTTTGTCGAACATTCAAGGAGTGGACGAGTGATTATTTAGTGCAAAGGACCAAAACAGTATGGCTTACCAAAGTTTGGTGGCCTATACATCTCCACTTTTCCCCTACTTAGTAGCAAT